GGAAGGTAGAATATTTTATGATGAGGAAGCGACGGCGTGCCGCTTCCAATTTACCTCCATTTCCGGCCTGCTTAAACCTGAGTTTCATTTCATCTGTTTGTACTCTCCTCCTGCATTATTTATTGATTTATATAAATATATATATATATGTTTTTATTTATTTATTCATAAGTTAAAAGGAATGTACCTCACATTGCAGCAGGGAACCAGATCATTCATATCTATTTCAGCTTTATGAGAATGTGAGGATGTTGATAATTGGGGACTGCAGGGTCTATTTGTGCTTGTGTGCTTGTGTGCGTGTGTGTGTGTGTGTGTGTGTGCATCTCTATGTGTGTGTATGCAGTAGGTTTGTAATATTCCAACATCCCTGTGGCTGTTCTCCATATCAGCCCATGATCCAGAACTCATTATAATTCCTTATTTGTTATGATTTGTATTTAGGTACGGGGGAAGTAAGTACAATTGGTGGTAATAAAATGCCTCTGCCTCCTCTAATGACAGTATTAATGATTGAGAGGGCATGTCGGGTTTGTGTGTTGATATAGTTCTGGTTTACAGTCATAAATTTGTTGAAATCTCTCGCAGAGGCTGACATACAAGGACCATAACTTTTAATGTTTAAAGTGAAGAAATATTCCCACAGAGCGGGATCCATACCCATGTTGCTGAGAATCTGGTGCCCCCTGTTGATGATGTGATGTACTACTGATTAAACTACCCCCAGGACACTGACACGGATCCCACAAAGGCAATGAAACACCCATTTTGTCACTGAATAATTCAATGTGGCAGCTGTGTGTATAGTTTATATTTAGCTGATATTAAATTAACAACTTGTGGCGACACTGTTTTAAGAAATACAGAGTTTAGGACAGGTTATCCTCCTGAATATATCTGCAATTTGTGTGATTTTAAAAAGTGATCAAATTGTTTGGTTAGGAAAGCAGTTATCACATTCACAACTTCTTCTCTCACAACTAGGTCCAGGTTGCACAGCTGCAGTCTAAATGTTTGTCTCATGTTCAGCCTCATAGAAGAAACATAGACGGAAGCTTTTGGAACCAGTAAGAGCCCACAGAGGGGAACGTCCACCCAGTCACTGATAACCTTTATTCTCAGACGCTAGGACGCCACAACCAATCAAGCCTCTTCATCTTTCCCCCACATCTCCCTGAGACAATTACCTCCAATTTTACTTTGATAACACTCTCCCTTCTCCGCCAGTAAACAATCAAATCACTCGATTGTTGAGGGTAATTGGATCCCTTTAAATCAAATCAGCCATTACGGCCTCGATGAAGCATGGCCCGCTCAGTGGAGGTTAGCGACACACGAGGGAAGGCAGCGCAGGAACACATTACAATGTCTGCCTCCCAGGTGAAGACGGCTATATTGGGGGGAGTTGTGTAATACAGGTTTATTAGACGGTGCAGTGATCAGCAGCGCCGGGCTTGTGTCTCTCCTTGAGGACATGTTGCAGGTGTAGCTCATATTTCAGCTGTCACAGAAAGACTTTAGAGTGGAAGGAGTCTCCACCCGCTCGTGAAATATTCATCTGAATTTGCTCCACGGCTCTTTCACGTTTTTCCTTCCAGCGTTGCTACTTATGATCACTTTCAGGAATAGTTCTTACACAGGGGTTCTGGCTTTGACACAAAGCTTGACTTTGGGTTGTTTGTACTACAGAATGATGATGGGTTTTTCATTCTATCCAGTAGTTTAAGTCTCACATGTACAGATAAAATATACAGATTATTCATCAACCAAATAGCAAAAACTTAAATGTGGCCTTGATAGAAAAACAAAGTGTATTTAGTAGTAATTCATATTTAAAGTAAAATGGTAATGAGGGTAAAGGGAACATCAAAAGATTTAGCTTTTAAGATGTGTTCAATTTTGCATTGACATTAGGAAAGGGCAGCAACTCCCTCTCGTTTATATGAATCTATAATTCATCAATACGCTTCTTGCAGGCTGTGGTGTTATAGATGTGGGGAAAGAGGCCCAACTTTATTTGACTAAGTGGTGTGTGAACACAGGCTCTGCCTCAGTTCTATGACAACACTTTAAAAGAAACAAATAAAAGGCATTGCATAGTTTCATAGGATGATATAAATGATCCTACAAAAACATTTTATATCAAAACAAACAAATGCCCGATCAGGAGTGACGTGTATGTTCGCGTGAGGCTGGATGCATTGGGTTATTTGCTTTGTGTGTATTGGTGAGGTGTGTGTGTGTCTGCAGGTGGCATTCGGGGGGCTTTCAGTCATGAGTGATTAACAGTCTTCCTCTAACAAGGTGTGTTATTAAAAGGCTTGGAAGTAACAAAGGCCTCTCTGTCTCATTCTTCAGCTATCAAAGCGTTTCACATTGCATTCGTCTCAGTGTGCGCTAATGTGCACGCAGGCTAATTCTCCTCTTGCTTTACTTCCTTCAGTCCTTCCCTTTGTTCCTCTTTCTCCCCCTTTCCATTCGCTCAAACATGGCCGACTGCAGGGCTGTTTCGCCCGCCTCCTTCGACCTCGCCTCCTCTCTATCATCTTCTCTGTTAAGCGCCTGCCCCCTGTGGGAAGAATGGGATGACGTCGCGGAGCCTGATAGGGGATATGCATGCACACACCTGTGTGGAGACACACACACAAACACACAGACACGCAGGCATATTTCAGGGAAATGCTGACAGCAGTTCATCAGAGCATCTGCGTGCAAGCAGAAGAAACTACCAGCGAATACGATAGGATGGCTCTAAAGGTGGTACCTGTTGTTATCGCTTCATTCCCTAAAGTCAGTTGAAAGATTTGACATTTTATTAGTTAGTCACTCAATCATTCAGGCAGAAAATTATCTGTCTGTCAGTCAGTCAGTCAGTAAATAAGCCAGTCGGTAAATTAGTCATGCAGCGAGTCAGTAAACAATTCAGTCACTGACTCTGAATTTAGTCTGATCATTAAATAAAGAAAGAAAGAAAATGAATCATTCACTCATCAGCCAGCGAATCAATCAGGAAAAATAGAGGAATAATGAGTCTCCCTCTTAAGATGCAGCTTCATTTTGTCCTCACAGCCAGAAAGACAATGACCGCTTAACCTCTGTTCAGCCTGCCAGCCTGAGATAGCACTTGGCCAATTAACTCCATCCCCTCTCCCCCCTTATGGAAAGAGTTAGCATCAGAGTGTGTGTGTGTGGTTGATTATTCATGTCGGTTTGTGAATGTATGTTGGCTGAAACCACCACCTGTCTTCATGAGTGCGCCTTAAACAACAATGTCCAACAACAATGTTTATGATAAGAGAGCCTACGTATAATCATGAGTTATTCTTCTAGGTGCATGTGTGGGTGTGTGTGTGTGTGTGTTCCATTACCCCACGAAGGTTGATAGTGCCATCCAATTTCCCCACTCTGTGTGGCTTTGCAGGTTCTCTGAACAAATTGTTTTGACTTATTATTGGTATTATAGGAAGAATTGTGGAAATACTGAAGTTTCTTAAGACTTAATCAATTCAAAGAACAACCCAAAAATCTCTTTGTGAAATACGTGACTACTTTTTTAATAATTGCGGATTAAGTATGACAGTGGATTAAAAACTTCATGTAACTCCTCCGGTTTGCATATATGTGTTCGCCTGTGTCGGACATTTGTAAGAATTCAAAAGGAGACGGTGTCTCACAGTGGACAATTCTTAAGCGTTTTGTCTGCATGCACTCACAGCTTCATAAATAGTCAAGTTTCAACATGCATGCCTCATAGATTGCAGGCTGATCATTTGTGTGGAGATGCTCCGTTGATGGAAGTGCTCCTTCTTGATGTGCATGAGGCTAAGAGGGCTCGTACTGAGGGGGGGAGGGGGCACTATCGAGTGGATTTTGTTGGCTCATTATTCAACAATCACCTCTGCATCCAAATTGATGGTTCTTTACCTGCAACATGACCTGTGGGTTTTGTCCCAGGGGGCTCCAGATGATTCAAGTGTAATTGACGGGTTATGTGACAAGTCAAGGCATAGCTTAGCCCTTGACTGCCGCTCACATTTGACGAATGTCCACACACCACCTCAGTCAGCACAATCTCCTCAATTCCTCTCCTCTATTCCATTCCTCCACTCATCACTTAATCGCCCCCGAGCTCTCCTTTATTGGCCCCTGTCCTCAGTCATCTTTATGATCTCACTCACGTGGGAAACTCTCTCGTGGGAGCATTGGGGTAAATGAGCCAGAAACACTGCAAGACATAACACTCAATTTAACCTAATTATTATTTGACAAGTGCAATTGTGATATACTGTATCCGTGAAACTTATTTGTCTAAACATCAAATATGCTTTTTCACTGAAACAATCCATATTTTGGAGATGGTATTTATTTATTTCCCGTCTTAACCCTGATTGACAGTGTGTGTAAGATTGAGATTACATTTACTGTGTAGGTGGTTTTGTCCTCAACTTCCATTGTTTCAAAACTCGTACCAGCTTCTCTTACAGTCCCCTTCACTAGAAATGTGCTTTGCTTCTATCTGCTCTGCCTAACTTCATATTCACCAGCATCTCCTGCACTTCTCAATGACTCCCACTCTCTCTGCGCTCGAACGTCAACTTTTTTCTTTTTCATATGCCAGCCTTTTAGAAAAGCCTTTTTATTGGATTCTCAGCATGTCTGCATTGGCGTTTGTGCCCCAGAGGACCTTACTGTGCCCCCTCAAATTAGAGATTTGCGCAGTGATCCAAACTCAAGCACTAGCTAGATGTTTGCTGTAAATCACAGTGAGAGGACAATTTTACTGTAATATCATCGAGGCTTTGAAGTATCTGTTAAGTATGATGGTGATGTAGTTGCACCTCATCAAAATAAACTCCTGCCAGATGCATTTCTTCCATTGTTCACAAAAACAAATATTGAAGGGCCGTTTTTCACGGCAACCTTTTCACGATGTCTAAATTGTCTATAAACAGAAAGGATGTGCAGAGAATAACATTTGACCGACGTATTGTTTCCCCCAGGTAAATACGCCATGAGAGATTTGATCCATCGGTTACCGGGCTGCAGCAGCAGCAACAACAACGCCACCGGCAGTGGGACGTCCGGCACCAGCGGCCCACCCAGCAAGGCCATGTCGGACGACACGGTAACCGCCATCTGCTGCGCCCTGCACGAAGTCATCACCAAGAACATGGAGAACGCGAAAGCCCTGCGTGATGCCGGGGGCATCGAAAAGCTCATCGGCATTGCCCGCAGCAAAGGAGACAAGTGAGTGGGACAATATTCTGGAAAAAAAACGCTGGAGCCTTAAGTGCCGTTGTCGGATGCGGGAGCAAAATACAAAGAGGAAAATGTACAAACTTCAGAGTGAGCACGAGGACAACGGGGGAACGTTCTCCAATAAATACGGACAAACATGCCCCGAATAACTGTTTCAGCTTGACGGGAGACCTAGCAAGGTGTTCAGCTCGCTGCCGTGGAAACTGCCGGGTCAGGGGTTGCAGTGACGCAGTGGCTGTTATCGGAGGTCAACCGCTCATTCGTTGTTATGGAGAGACGCTCTATTGGAGGAATGGTGCTCAAGGGCACCATTACAGAGAGAGATGAGGTGCCGGAATAAACTTTCATAAGAGCAAATCTCACTGTGAGGGTAGTTGGCTGCTAATGGCCCACACATCTTCATTTTCCAGGATTGGCGGACTGAGGATGAATACTCCTTATCAGCAGCGCCAGGCGACGTTCACATAATTACACCCTCTCTGATTGGTAAAATGCCATTATAACATCGCCTTACACGGCCGCTGTTCACCAACTTATTTGAAACAGCAGGAGCTGAATAATGCATTGAATTGAAAGAATAATATAGATTTTGGTGTATGACCTTGCATTTGAAACATTGCCTGAGCGTTTCCGCTTCATACAAACTACAACAAATTTGGCAGCACGGAAATGTTGTCTTCTTTTCCCCGAGTTGCACCCGGCTATGATTTATGCTTCAGTCAAATACAATTAATCCAGCGAGGATCAAAGGCCTTGATGACATTTAAGCTGGTGAGGTCACTGTTAAGATCTGTCTGCACTGCAAATGCGTTGACTTGTTCCAGCGTTTCAATATGTTTTTCATTAGATTAGCCGGTTATGATACATGCCGGGGGTATGTCATTGTAGCAGAATGGTAAAGTAGCATGTCTTTGATTACATTACGCCATATTTCAATCGCAGAAAAGCTCCTTGTACTTCTCACTGGGAAAAAATTAAAACCCCGAGTGAAGCTGATTTCAGGTGGACTTTAGTTAATCTTGGTGCACAAACGGATACTGAGCATCCCTCCTGCTTCCTTCTTTCGCTGTTTGGAGGGCAGGGCTTCTGAACCGACTTCTTCTACAGTCATTTTTCAGCTAAGTGGCAGGAATGGGGCCATTAGCATGGCAGAGAGGGTGATTTAAAACTCATCTGGAAACACTCCGTTTTTTCTACATAGAAAATCCTTCTGTGCAGAAATGGCTCTTGCAGCCGGCACGAGGGCCACTGGCCTGCACCCATCTTGTGCAGCTGGTAAAGGCGGGGGGGCAGAAGGACACAGCGGCATTATCCGAAGAAATGTTGGCCAGGAGAAGTAATTCTCTCTCTCTCTCTCTTTCCCCTGACTGTCCACAGACACTCAGCGAAGGTGGTGAAGGCAGCCTCTCAGGTCCTTAGCGGTATGTGGCAGTACAGAGACCTCCGCTCCCTCTACAAGAAGGTAGGAGGTTTTACCCACCATGTACTCCATTCGTCATCGCAAACGCTTTGTTTACCTGTTATATTTCACTCTCCACTGACTTACTGCACAGTGAATCCTTGTGGCATACCAGTCACTTTTTAACCGTGCTACACAGGGTCAAACACAGCAAGCAACGTTACCGTCGATCTCCTTCTTCCCAATATTATGTGCGTACGTGTGTCTAATAGTTGAAGTAATGAGACCTGCAGATCATGGCAATTAACTTGACGTCCCTGTACGAAAACGATATGCATCATAAATCATAACAGATCCATCACGACTGGATTAACTAATTGTACAGCATTGTGCTTCCAGCACAATATCTGATTTTGGGAAGATGGATTTAGTTATTTTTTAGTTACTTTTTAAGAATGATGTTTGGGCTGTCCACTAATTGATTGGTGGTCCGTACATATGCTCTAATAAAGGCTTTGGACTGTAACCCTTTACTAAAGGGTTTTTAACCAAATTTGTAACCCTACAATTTTATTAAAACATAGCCTAAAACTTTTAAATACCACACAAACGCAAATGCAAACTTTTTATACTCTGGAGACGAACCTTTTTTTTGGATTACAAAAACCCAGGATATCACCCAGTGTTGAATGTATTTTTATTTGTATTGATGTGATCAAGGATTCACGGAACTCTCCGTTACTTTTCCTCCCCGTCCTCCCCAGTTGGGTGACAATTGATCCAATTACTTTTCCAAATAGAAAAATGCAAAACATCAGGTGAAGTGATCAATACAGGTGTGATGAAGGTTTTAAACCAACCAGGAGCTTTTACCCAAACTCCTTCTCCTTCTCTCTCTACATATACTCCCTGTTTGTCACTTTCCCTCATGAATTCCTCTGAAGATGGCTGTTGGGCGGAAAGGTTGGAAGAGCTGATTCCTGCCATTTTTTTTTTTTTTTTAAATAACTGCTGCCTTCTAATAGGCTAGGCTCCAACGGACTCTTCCGTTGGACCAGTCGGAGGACCCGGACCCTTTAGCCGGGCTACTGACCTCCTCCCTCCGCCCCACGGCTCCCAATTTGAGTCCTGTCCGAAAGTTAATCCCAATCTTGACCCCGCCCTGCCCCCCCTCATCAAAAGGGATCAGACCAGCCACATGCAGGCACATTTTATTTGTTGCCATTCAACTAAAAAGCACCACCTTGAGTCTTTGAATAAATCAATTAATTAATAAAAAGGTTCACTGCGGTCAATGAACTAGCCATCGCTTGCCCGCCGAAAACTACATGAAGCTCCGCCTCCACTGCCGCACAGAGAGCCGTGTACTTGTTTTGTACAAAGTGTATCATTGAACGTGTCCAAATTGCAAAAGAATTACAAAAAAAAGGAGTCCATTTGGGCCTCCGATGATACGCCCACCCGGTATGAAGTAGATTGGCTGAAAAAGTGAAGCACACGCGGGAGGAAAGAAAAGACAGATTCTTTATTATAACGTTAAATGAGTAAAAAGGTCTCCCTCTAGACGTCCTCAGTGTCGTATTTGAATGTAGTCCGTGGGGTTAATGGCACTAAGTGTGTTTCCACGAATGCTTGGTGTGTGTGTGTGTGTGTGCACGTGTGCGGTTATGCGCTCTTCGGCCCCGAGGTCTCTCATAACCTCTTCCAAACAAAAATAATAATGGAGTTCTGGCGGGCACCATCACAACTGAGCAACAGTGTTTACACAGGCAGATGGATCAATAACTTTGTTAGTCTCTAGCCTATTTTTCTTTTATTTACTATACAACACACGCAGACGTGTGCACACACACACACACACACACACAGACGCACACAAGCTAACCTCGTAGCTAATAGGTATTTAACCCAAAACAGTGTTGATGCCGCTGGCTACCAGGATGCTGCAGCTCATTAAAGCGGTAGGAAACTGAGAACACGAAGGAGGACAGACACAAGCCAAAAGTGAGAAGAGTTGTGTGTGTGTGTGTGTGTGTGTGTGTGTGTGTGTGTTGCACTGACTCTCACACACTGTTATCTCTCGCTTTCCCACTCACATTTTCCTTTTTCTCCTTCTCTGGCTCTTTTTTTTTTTGTTTCTTTTCAACAAACCGATACCGGGGCTCCAAACGACTTGATTTAAAGTAATGGCGGATGTTCGTTCCTTTCACATTACTCTGTAATGGTGTTGTGTGAAATATGTGCCACCAAGGTTTGCTGCCATTCAGAGCACCAAACGTTTAACATGCCTCAATGAAATACGCAGAAATATTAAATAACACATTCCTGGAAGGTGTCCTTGGCTTTGAATCTGTGTTTTTCATCTGTTTTGAAGGGAAAATAAACAATAGTGTGCACTGTTGCGACAGTTAATACTTTTGTGACTCACATAATTAAGTGTCTTTATTATTCAATTTTGTCCGACACTTTTAATGTGAAAATCTCTTAGAGGACATTCTTCAGAACAGCGATTGTATGCTACAACACAATTCACCTTAAAAAGTAATTTCACTCATGATGATAAAGTGATGGATTTTGCTACGTTAATTTCAAATACCTGCACAGCTTTCCAACATGTTGTTAAACTCGAAAAACAATAGTGAGCCGACGTTCTAAAGCAAAAAACAGTATGATTTGATGCATTAGAAATGAGTTACAGAAAATGAAGAGAAAAACAAAACCGAATGCACCCCAGTGGTCTCATTGCATGATCATCTTCCAGCGGGTTCCCGCTCCACGTCCGAGACTTGTGACTGTTGCAGCAGTCACTTCAAGAGAGTCCGCCCCGCGGCATCAGCGTGTCCTCGCCTCATCCCGACGACTGTCGCTCTTTATTCCTCATCCTCTCATCCACAGTGTTGCACAGTATCCCCATGTGGCCGCTTGGAGCCTCGTCTGCTTCACACTTCTCTAATCAATGCCACTGGATGGTAAAACACTGCAGTGATCAGACGTGAAGGTCATTGGCTTTGCTGTCTGTCTGACAAATATTGCTTCTTTTTTGGGGGGGGGGGATTATTTATCAGTTTATTTTTTACCCCACCCGTTTGCCTCCAAGACCTTTTTGAAAGAAAGAAGCAATTTGCTCATTTTTATGGATGCACATTTCAAAACCACCGCATTTGATCAGATGTGAAATAAATATTGATTTACTAGGGATTCTTTTGATATGAAATGAGATATCTGCAGTCCTGTTGGCATTTCCTCAATTTTATCAACGTGTACTTGTCACTGTCATAATATTCTAATGATTAACATTTTGAAGTTTAAATGTGGGTTTAACCAAGAAAACTTGCCGGTCAAACAATTTAAAATCTCTAACAGACATTTTCATAACACTTGTTTGGTTAGTAAAACCGCTCCATAATCCTATATTTAGTCACTCTAAAAATGACTTTTAAAGGCCGATAGACACCATACCTCCTAAATGATATGAACACAGCCCTGTGAGTGACAAACCTAATTTCATAACTGTGTAAATTGTTGCGTTAGAGGATCCCCCTCTTTGACTTTATCACTGCAGTCCAGAGTGCGCAGTAAGTGACTTAACTGCTGGTATCCCTGCATGACGTATTAGGTCATGGGTGTTGGGTGCTGCAAAAATCCTGTTAGGTTCCAATCCAGACATGGATTAGCACACAATTTAGACGAGAGCGGAGTTTGAGTCTCTTGAAAATGTTTGCAAGCCAAAGTGGAAGAGGAGGAAGAGCGAGTGGCTAAAGGAGTTTTTTTGTAAACGTAGTTTGAAGATAAGCATGCCTGAGTTGTGTGTTTGTGTGCGTGCAGTTTTGATGAGAGGTAAAAAGTGTCTTAGTATAGTGAGACTGTGTTGGCAAATAATAGTTTGCTTTTGAAGTTATGAAGTAATGAGAGCATTTCAAAACATACTTTGTAGAAGTCATGGGTACGCATGCGTGTTTGTGTCTCTGAGTGTAAGTGTGTCTTTGAAAATGTGGTTGGTTTTTTTTGTCAAAGATGCGTTAATCACGTCCTACAGCAGTACCATGGGAGCAGTCTGCCCAGCATTTGTAGAACGCACTAAAATGGTTGACTGCTCATAAATAAACAGTAACTTGCTATGAAAATAGCATTCGGAGATGACTTGAAAAGATCAGTGGTGCAGCAGTCATTAATAAACCAAAGCCCAAATCTGTTTGTAGCAACACTACAGCACTGACTTGAGGATAAATCATTTATAAAAGTCTCCAGGGCGGCTTTTACCAACTTTATTTTTTTTTACCAAGTATTATTTGACAGGATGCGTCTTGATTCTGTGTGTGAGTGTTTCATGTGGGCTACTGTTCCATGTAGAGAAGCCGCGGGTCAAATTTTCAAGTAAACGACAAATGTGCAGAACTGAAAATTGTAAATTAACCTATTCTTAGTAGGACCACAAGGACTCAATTCTCTGCCTCACTTAGAGGGAGAGAGAGAAGATGTCTATCTCACGCACACGTATCATTATCATATCGCATACATACATCACACTTACATCACACAAATCAGAACAACAGCTACACACACGAAAGACAGATGGGGTTGAGGGTCAGAGAGATGCTGCGTTCGTCACATGTGTGACAGATTTACAACATGATGTGTAATTCTATATGTGTGATGTGAGTGAGACGTGTGTGTGTGTGTGTGTGTGTGTGTGTGTGTGTGTGAGGTCACCGATTGCACAACAGACTCCTTTGCAGGATCGGTGCACACAGAATGCTCAGGATGTTCCTGTAAAATGAATGTTTAAAATGTGTCCTAATGTGTTACTGATAAAGTTATTCAACTGGTGTGTGTGTGTGTGTGTGTGTGTGTGTGTGTGTGTGTGTGTGTGTGTGTGTGTGTGTGTGTGTGTGTGTGTGTGTGTGTGTGTGACCACCTGATTACTCATCAAAGTTGTGTATAGCAAAAAGGGAATGGTGAGATGCTTTTTGTCGATAGAGGCAGCCAAAATAAATCCATCATCCACTGCCACACTGCATAAACGGTGGAAGGACTTCAGTGGACATCAAACCCACCTCAGGCCTCTGAAGCTGCTTCTGTGTTCAGCCTGTTTTCCCTCTGATGTCCACCTGTATCAGACAGTACGAGACAGAGAGATGTGCAGATAGCCGGTCTCAGTATAGAGCCCAACAACTGTGTCTTGGGAGGCTCACAGTGTTAGTCATTTACAAGAAAAGGGTGGAATAAAGGGCAATTCTGCAATCCGCAGAGCTACAAGCAAACAAAATAAAGAATGCAAAGGTCAGAGGCACATTATTCCAGTGATGACAAATGGATCATGTGTGAGTGAACGGCTCGCTACTGCAAATCGGAAAATGTGTGTGAAATGAGTGAGAGACATAAAACGGATAGAAGGACGGTTAAAAAAAAAGACAATTTACAGTGGTGGACAAGGGCCAGAGAGGAGCTACCACTCAACATGGGTAACCTTTTACAATTTCTTTTTTTTTTGCCATAATTGCTGTCTGGCATAGGCGCCGCCTGAGACACACACACACACACACACACACACACATTCCCTCTTTGTTGAGGCTGTAATCGCTTTTCAGCTCCCAGTCCTGTGACCTTCAACTATGGTGGTGAGAGCAACAGGCAAAATGGTTGCCTAGCAACCTCCTCTTTTTTCCTCTAATTTACAGTAGGGCCTGAAAAGGTTTAGGGAGTAAGTGAACGAGAAAAAAAAGGAGGTGGAAATGGAACAAAAAAAAAAGTTGGAGGGCCAATAGGTGAGAAATCTGAGAACAGGTGAGCGAGTTTGTGTAGACGATGATAGTGGATATAACGTTTGCTTACTATATACGATATATCCAAGTTTCATATTGGATATATCGTGGTCCTAAAGAGTTTGTTTAACGTGTTTCCAGTTTTATTTTGAAAGCTCACGCTCCATATGTTTCCTGTCTTCGTTTACCTTTTGGCCTTTGTCTTTTTTCCCCCTTATTCTCTCCATGTCTTCTGTCCTCATCCTAGTGGTAAATTGATTGGGCTTTTTGTGTTTTTAGTATAATGTGCTTTGGACTGTCCTCGCCTAGTGATTGTTGCAACACTCCTCTCCTCCAACCTCCTTTTTCATTGAACCGGCTAAGTGATTGAGTCCTTCATTGGAATCATATACGAAATGTTGATGTGTATATTGAGCCTGTTATAAATCCAACATGACAAAATCAATGAAGAGCTGGAACAAGCTGCGAAACAATATACATCATACTGTCAGATGGGGTGTGTGTATAATCTTTCAATTCTTACAGCTACTTACTGCATAAAGATTAGGGTGCAAAGTCAATTAATAGATGGAGATAGACAATAAGTAGGCTTTGACAGCCATTTGAATACATTTTCAAATTCTGTTCTTTCCTGATTATAACCGTTCTTTTCCGCCATTTCGTTTTGTCCTCATTTTGCTTGAGGGACGGGGGTGGGGAGGGGGCTTAAAGACCCCTGTGGATAATTCCTAAACCTCATTTCTAGACGTTGAGTCACATGAATAGACCGCAGACTGCACACATGCAGAACTCATTCGTCATTCAGTATTCAGCAACGGCGTTCGTCTGAGAAACATGAGTTCGCACCTAAGGTGCTTTCATGGTTTGTAAAACAGATTGAGTAAGCAGACTGAAGGAGTAGCGGATAAATAGATGAGGACAGGAGGTATAGGTGAGACTACCTTTTCAAACCTCTGTGTCAGAGGATCCAGCTGTCCATTAGTCCCTATGCTGTGCCGGGGAGTGAGGGCAAAGTACACGAGACTGGGCTCAGTCCAGACTATCTCTCTCTCTCCGGCTTTATGCTCCCTCCCTCTCCCTCCTCCTCCTCGCAGCTCTCATTACTTTCCGTCATCTTTTGTCTCCCTCTGCTTCTGTCCTGTCCGCCCCCCTGCATCTCATCTCCTCCACCTCTCGGTCGCCTCGTCCTCCTTCCCTCCGTCTCAAGAATGGCTTTCACCTCTCCTCGCAGTCCAACCGGTCCTCGGGCGGTAAACCTATGAGGGAGCATGTCTGCATTAGCTTTTATCACACGCTGGTGCTTTGCTTTCAGAGGTACCCAATTATCTTAATGCTAAATTGAATTTGGTTCCAGCTCTGTGATTGTTGTTGACTTTCATTATCCATTTTTATGAAAAGGGCTTTGTTCCAATCATCGCTGAGCTAATACGGATTGGTTTGGCAGTAATTAAGCTTGTGGAGTTGTATTCATTTTTTTGTCTGAGGACAGTTGAATATTGACTACGCTCGGGCTTCACGCAAGTGTGTGGATTTGTTGTGTGTGTGGATGTTTGAATATGCCTGTGTGAGTATTTGTCAGTGTTCCTTATTGTCCAGAATACATTCTTGACTTGCCATTCAAAACATGTAACAAACAACCAAGGACAAACTTGTTCCTCTGCAAACATTTACTTCGTCCACTAAATTCCAAACATTTCAATCATCCTTTTCATATAAACAAGCGTGTCTTCAGTAACCAATTGTTCCTAAAACTCCGTTAAAAGTTCTTTAGAGGCCTTAAGGGCTACAACATGCGTACAGGGAGGGTTTTATCTTGAAACCTCCACACCACAAATAGTTCTGTGCTTCATCAATGCTGGATCAGTGTTGTTGCTTTATGAAAGTGGTCAATATGAATCGATTTTGAGTTTGTGCAGTTAGTTGATCTGTTGTTTTTGTGTGTTCTCTTTGCAGGATGGTTACTCCCAGTACCACTTTGTGGGCTCTGCCTCAACGATAGAGAGGGACCGACAGAGGCCCTACTCCTCCTCAAGAACTCCCTCCGTCTCCCCCGTTAGGACATCCCCGAATAACCGCTCCGGTGAGGAACATGTGACACTTTGAATTTTGAATACAGAGATTGTGCGGGGTTTTTTTTGTTTGTCTGTGCCTGATTTTCCTTCTTTACTGTGGCTCTTTTCAACAACAAGTTTCAGTTTTAAGTTTTTCAACTAAGAATTGTTTTGCATAGTGAGTGATTTTCTATTGTAGCATATATTTGAGTTTAGATTAAAATAATTTAGATTTTGGCCTCATATGTGGCTGAGCATGAAGTACAGGTGCAAACGTTGATTAATAAAGCCTTGAGTCCAAAGCTCAAACAGTAAAGTCATCAGAGATGGTTTTTGTGTTTGTTTCATGGCTATTGATTCAGGATATTAAGCAGACGGGTGATATTTTTGTGTCTTGTTACTGTTACTACTACTAGGATAGATAAAAACCAACCTCATTCATTTTAAGATGTTTCAATTGCTATTTAAAATTTAGTTGGTTCCATTTGTAAAAAAATATATATAATCTACAACTTGTGGTTTAATAGTGAGTTAAGTGGCTCTTAACTGACTGTCTAAAGTTGATATCATCTCACATGGTCATTTACAAGAAAAGCCAGAGTGGAATCAAGGGCAATTCTGTAATCCGCAGAGCTACAAGCAAGGAAAATAAAGAACGCAAAGGTCAGAGGCACATTATTCCAGTGAGGACAAATGGATCATGTGTGAGTGAACGGCTCACTACTGCAAATCGGAAAATGTGTGTGAAATGAGTGAGAGACATAAAACGGATTGAAGGACGGTTAAAAAAAAAAAGACAATTTACAGTGGTGGACGAGGGCCGGAGAGGAGCTACCACTCAACATGGGTATTTTACAATTTACTGAGTGGTGCTGCCTGTTTGCCCTGCTTCCTGTCTTTATGCTGGACTTAACCAATCACCTGTTGATCATGGCTTTATATTTAACCTGCTCGGTGAGAGCATATTTTATGTTTATTTCCCAGTGTACATCTGTTGAACTGTTTCAAATGGTAGAATGATTATCGAAGCAGAACAGACATTGCATTTGTCACAGCCGGTATTCAAAACGAATTTACGTTGTCGTAAATGATTGTTCTCATCTAAGCCCTCTGTTAGGGAATCCTTCATAGTTATGCAGTGTGGCAGTGGACGATATAGTGTGTGACAATACAACTAACTGCACATATTTGCACGTGTGTGTGTGTGTGAGACATGATCACAACCAGAAGGTCATGCATGGATTATAATGAAGTATCCTACTAAAAGTAGCATCAACACTTACCAGTACATAAGTCTTTACATCGAGACTAAGTGGCTGTTAGCGCTAGTGCTCACCAATCAGACTGCTGTATGATTAGCCTTTAGCTTGAGCCCATTGGCCTTCGTGCTTAGCAAAGGGTGCATTAGCATTAGCTGTTAGCATCAGTAGTTTAAGCGCCTTTAGCTGTGCGTTCTCCAAACTGGGCTTAGCAAGCTGATGAGGCAGAAAAGTACTTTTCCTTCCTCTCGGCTTAGATAGGTCTTCAAGGATCCAGCTGACAGAGAGCGGTAGAACGAGGGATGGCAGGGAGGGGGAGAAAAAGAGTCTGTGTGTGTGTATGTGCGTGTGTGTGTGTGTGTGAGACAGAAAGGGGGGATTGAGATAAACAGAGAGGGAGATAAAGAGAAAAGGCAAGGAGGCAAGAAGAATTAGGGATTGAGGGAGGGGTAATGCAGTGAGGAGGAAGTGAAGGATGAGGATTTCACTTTGGCCGGTGACATTGAAAATAAGCAGTTTTGAGATCATAGTGCGGAGAGAAATTGTGGATGTCTGTAGTATGTCTGAGGGAGGTGGGTGGGAATGGGAAACTGCTGGAAATGACTCCCATCTTCTCTCCTGCTCCTCCTCTCTGCACTCATCGTCTCTCCCTTTTTTGCCTTTCCAGTATTACACCCATATGTATGATCCGGTCAAGTAGAATCTCCTCCTATCCAGTAATCGGACTTTTTTTACACCTCTCCCCCGGATTTCTTTTTACAGGCTGCCTCAATGTGCACACTCACACACACACACACACACACGCATCTGTATCTCCTCTTTTGCATACGCTCCAGACTTTCAATCCGTCCCCTCAGAGATGGATCAAAGCAGAAGGAGTAATGATGGCGTGGCGCAATTTAAGAGTTAGTGGAGAGTCCCAAAAAAAACTGAGTAGAGGAGGACGCAGGCTACAAGGATGACAAAGGGAGGAGACGTACCTTTGCATCCATCATGGCCCCCACAGGGTCCTGATGTGTCTTGGACTGATGGAATGAGTCTCTCAGCCTCTCATATCCAGCAGTTAAGAGCCAGGTCCCCACGGTAGCCGTAACCAGCAGTGATGATCTCTGAGGCCGCCTGTGTCTGGGTTGAGCATCCACCTTTAATGGAATTCGCTGCGGAGGTGACAAATTCGGAAAAAATTAAAATCAAAAATGTGTCAAAGTCATAATAGCCTGTAGCCTCTGTCTCCCCCTTTTTTATCTTGGCCTACTAAATGTGTGTAATTGAATTCACCACAACCAGGTCTGCATGCATTTCTTTACAGACATTTCTGTTGCATGACCGACTAATCTTGTGTCTTCCAGACAAATTTAATCGCATGATTACATTTGTCGGGAAGACACAAAATATCTGAACCGATAAGTGGTCAGATTGCGACCCTATCAATGCTAAGAATTGAAGAAGTTAGTCCTTTTTAGTATTTGAATTGACAAAGTGAGAATCTCCGGAAAAGCTTTTTTTCTACTTTCTGCTATAGTCTACAGGTTTTTTGATCAGCTTAGACAAATGTTGGAAGTGTGTGTGTGTGTGTGTGTGTGTGCGCGCGCGCACTTGGTATATACATATTTCTCTGCTCCTAACATCACTTCTCAATATAAGGTCCAAAGGGTCTGAAGAGCCTGTATATTTAAATATTTACTGTAAATAGGGTGGGTAGTTGCATGGATGTTAAACTTCCTCTTGTTTAAAAGAACCACATTGATTTGTTTATTGTATCGAGGCTTTTTGACTTTTTGTCAGGAATCTCTATTTCAACAAAATAAAAAAATTCTACTAAATTATTAAAAGCTTTGGTTGGAAATGATGACCTTTTGTCTTGTTGGGGTTGGTTTTGACCCAGTTATAGATAATTAGAGGCTAAAACACACTGACAGCCAACTCCTCTCCCAGTCATGTGAGTTTTAGGGGATTCTCATTTTGCCGTGTTGTCTAGTATACCTGCACCAAATCAAAACAAAGACCACCATGTGCGGTGAATCCAGTATGGAGTTAGTGACACCAACTGACTACGGCCTGAGGCTCACACCCAAAACATTCAAATCAATATTTCAGCCTACTAAGGTAACCAAGAGACGAGAAACAAATTGGATGATTGACACTTATTTTTAGTGTATTTTACAGCTGACTTAAGACAAGGGTCAAAACCGACCCGAAGAAGGTTAAGAGCTGATGCAAGAAGGCAGGATTCTGGCAATTTGATATGTCAAGATACTGGGGACTGAGTAAGCACTTTAAATATGCTGTAGGAGATTACATTGGGGGGGTGTGGGCAGGGGGTCGGAATATAAAAGCGAGAGGAAAATACATTGTATGTGTGCTGGGTCTGCACTTTTGTATATCTGTGGGCTTGCATTTGGTGATGCATTCATGGGTGTAAAATAGAGGATGGGTAGACAAAGGGGGACATTTATTAACCAACCAAGCGTAAGCATCAATAAATTCACAATTAGTTTTTTGTTTGGGAAAGCGATTCCTTCCACATATGGAGTTAAATTACAGTCTATTCAACAGAGCACATTGGGGACATGATGGGAGGTGTTGATGACAAATTGAACTTCTTTGATGGATCGATCGAGGGGTCTCACAAAAAAGGATTGGAACCACTGAAACTGTACTTGTGCAAGAGTTGGGGCACATACTGTCTGAATTGAGATATTTTCACCAGATCTATATAGTTGATCTTCAAATAATGTATTCACAAAACTGTTTGCATTTGTGTGTGTGTGTGTGTGTGTGTGTGTGTGTGTGTGTGTGTGTGTGTGTGTGTGTGTGTGTGTGTGTGTGTGTGTGTGTAAATTCCCAGGAGTCTTATAATATGCTGGAGGTGACCCTTTATGCTGACAAGCTAAATGATGAATAATGACTGTGCACCTTGAAAGGCAGAGACACACACACGCTAATATAAGCACGCAAGTGTGAAGCTACATGCTGTTCAGGGTCTATGCTCATTATTTTGTGTGTGTGTGTCTGTGTGTAGCGAGCGCTCCAGCCTCCCCCAGAGAGATGATGAGTCTGAAGGAACGCAAGATGGACTATGATTCCACAGCAACCAACGCTGGTTTCCATAGCAACAAAGGAGAGCACACATCCCGGAAAGACGGCATGGCAGGTGCGAATGTGTGATGGAGAGACACGGCAGAATTAAATTATATAAATATATATATATATATAAAAAATGATTATTTTTTCCGCCTTTTTATCTTTCTTTCATCCATTTCTCTTCATTTCTCCTCATGTCTTTTTTCTGAGACCACACTGGTCTTTCTTCTCTCAGACGCCTAGATTTGTTTATGTTTGCCCGTCTTTCTTCCCAGTATCTTTTTGCGCTGCTCTCTTACTATCCCTCCACTCATGACTTGTTTTTTCTTCCTCTCTCCATTCCATTGCGTCTATCTACTGGTCTCTTTCCTCTTCTTCCATGCTGTTCTTTTGTCTCGCTCTCACAATGTTCTCTTGAGGGCACTGGGGACGTAGTAATTGCCAGACTTTTAAACAAACTGCAGGGAGATTTTGGATCTAATTAACTGATTTTTAGCTAAGCCAATTGTGTTGGTTTCCCACGTATTTGTTTGTCTATGAATCATTAGCCGCAGTATGGGAGCTAGTTATCTTTCCCATAAGGTGTTATCTTTCTCTTTTTCTATAATCCGTTTTATCCAGTTCAAGTATCCTGTGGAACATCAACGTTGTTCCGAAACTCTTACCTGACCGCCTGCGATGACATCAAGCAAAACCAGGTGAGTAATCGGAGATCAACACGTGTACTACGCACACTGCTATGGTTTTAGCCTCAGAGGTCAGGGGTCTCATAAATTGGCATATGCTGTCATAACACGGCGGTTATTAAGAGAGATAACCGCAGGACGGAGGCATTGCAGACACACAAATGCGCACGGAAGGTGTCCGGCTGTGATAAGAGGCACAATGGCGGCGTTCGCTACGGAGACACGCCCTCAGCTCCGTCTGCATTAAACCACTGCAGCCGAGCGCCAATTAGAAGCATTAGCTCGGCTGATTGCGCTACTTATTCGCCTCCGGTTTAAGGATTCTTCTGGTGGAAAGGGAGCGCTAACCGTAAGCAGCATGGCCTTTCAGTACAAAGATAAGACTATGTTGTGTTGATATATGTCTTTTCTACATAGTTAAAAACCTTTCGCTCAATGGGAAGAGAACCCAGTACTGAATAATCCCAATTGGTGTCTCAGAAATGGGGTTTTGAAAGTATGACTTCATCTTTTAAAGTGTGTGTTTATACATGCAGACACACGCACACACATTAACACACAACTAGCCCTTTGAGAGTTAGTGTTCAAGAGGAGTTTCCTCTTTCAGTACCTGCATGTAATAGGGAATTCACAGCATGAGTCTCCTATCTGAGCCTGTTTACCTGCACCACCCGTCTCCCCCATGAGCTCTCCTCTCCATCTCTCCACCTTTTTATCTCCCTTCCTGATGACCAGTCATTCTTGCTTGCCGAGCCTCACCACCACCTACCACTTTTACCCCACTTCCACCTGCTCCCCCACCAGGCTCCAACCCAGTCCGGCGTCTTGTCCCAGCAGGACAGCCCGTCAGCAGCCGTGCTAAAGGACTACGACCCCTACCCCCCCCCTCCCTCCTTCCCCCAGCCTCAGCCGCCGCAGCCGCCACCTCACAGCCAGAGTCGCAGCTTCAGTGAGGTCTACTACGAGGACCAGGGACCTCCACCTCCACCGTCCCACCCGCAGCCACAGGTGCAGGCGCCGTCCCAGCCCCAGGCCCAGCCCCAGCAGCCTCCGAGCTCCACCGGACCCCCCAGAGACCCGCGGGAGGACCTGCGCATGCACCTGGGCCTCAAATCCACCGGCAACTACGTAGACTTCTACTCGGCCTCTCGGCCGTATAGTGAACTGAACTATGAGACCAGCCATTACCCGGCCTCGCCTGACTCCTGGGTCTAGTTGGGCCGGAATAATGTTGGGGGGGGAGGGCGGGGGCAGAGAGGGAGTCTGTGTGTGCGAGTGTGAAAGGATAACAGCAAATGGCCTGTTGCAACGGGATCTGGTAGCCAGTGGCAAGAAATGTGTGTTCTTTAAATAAGGGGGAAGACGGCAGTAGATTGAGTTGAGAAGCGACGTCAGGTCAAGTGACAAAGAGATACTGTGCATGTGCATGCAGACATTTTCCGGACTTATTTAATTTCTTTCTTTTCGGCTCCATTGCAAAACCATTGAGTGGATCAAGGGGGACTAGATGTGAAGAAGTTGGTTTTAAAAGGTGAGGGAGAAGTGGGCAGGGGAGTACAGAAAAAGAGAATGACCAGCTGGAGCGAGTGCTCGAGAGAGATCGGGAGGGGAGGAGGGCGATGGGATCATGAAATAATGGGGAGGGGGATGAGAGCGAGCTCTTACGCTGTAGGAGCAAGAAGTGGCCTGACCTTTTGTTGGAGAGAGAGAAGACGAGGGGGAGGGATGAAGATGCCGTGAGGGTTCTTTTTAGGAGGTCAGGAGGAATAAAAGCACAGGAAAAAATGAAATCACATCAGGCACACGGCAAGAAGTGGATGTGTGACAAACGTAGCACTGCTTTAACCCAATCACCACCCCCCTCCTTTTTTGTTGCAATGGCCTTGCCGCCTACTGAAGCTTCTGAATTTATTTCATTGAATGTCATCTTCAACAGACTTTTTTTTGCGTTCATTATTTTATTTTTATTTTTTTTTTACTTGTACTTTTCTAAATTTTCACTTTCAAAAATTCACAAAACAGCATTTTTATTTTGTGTACAGTTTCAAAGTGATAGTGTGTATATTACACATGTTTTTGATGAGGGCACATGTGAAAACGTGATTTATTTTTTTTTATTTTTTTTTCCCGTGATTGACAACTGACTGAAACTACAAAAGCAACAAAAATATGCGCAAGAGACGGACATCGTCACGATGGATGTCAGTGGACACCTTTTTTAGTTTTGCCCTTTTCCAGGCCGGAGAGGAAACCCTACAGTGTTTGTATTTCTCTCCCTCTATCAAATAAATGTCATTGTGGACATGTTCAAACGATTGGCTGAGCTGTATCGCTCCCGAGCCCCCCCACCCCGTCAAGAAAAGTGCTTTTTCACTGCCTAAAGAAAACATGTGTATGTTTTAAAGCACACTCTGTCTTCAGGAAAGGCTTGTCTTTTCCTATTTGGCGAGCCGATATGTTTGACGTTTTCCGTGGTTTCTCATCATCACTTGTGCATAGAAAAGTGGTCCGTCCGAGTGTACAGCAGCGATAAGAGGAAGAGAGAGACATGACATTGTGCCAAACTTTGACACCCCTCGTGGACCAGTCCTGAAGGACATTCTGTCGAAGTTTCTCTGGACGACGGATGGGTGACCTTTTACTTTCTTGTGTTTTTTTTTTATCAGGTAAAGCCGTACATATTGCTGGGGATGATGGGGAAACGTCTCTCTCCCCGTAGATGTACAGACCTGCCTCTCTGTGCTGGCTGAGCGTGTGTTGGGACACGGGTGTGTGTGTGTGTGTGTGTGTGTGTGTGTGTGTGTGTGTGTGTGTGTGTGTGTGCGTTTGTGTACGTGTGCATGTATGTGAGCGAGTGTGTGTGTGGCCCGTGTGAGTACACGTAAATTGAGCGAGCGTATCTATGCATGCATGTGTGTAGTAGTGTGTGCGTGTGCCTCCTGTTGCGTGCGTGTGCGTTCCTGTATAAATCTATGTCCAAACAAGGCATTCCTACCGACAGTTTGTCCAGTTTTACAACATGAAAAGGTAAAAATCACTAGAATGAATTGTTGAAATAGAATGAGAAATCTATGAATATATGAATATAAATATATATATATATAATTTTTATGTGCAGATGTCAGTGTCACTAAATGCAACAAATGTTCGCAGACAAAAAATGATTATGTGGTGTACAACAGGACTCTTGTTCACTTGACCTAAACATGGAAGCTGCTGATCGGGCCCCCACCCCCCCTCCTCCCTAATCAAGACAAAAGAAGAAAAATCCCGCCTGAAGATGCTCAGGCTTTGGTGCGAGTTGTGTGTTTATTGTGTGTCCATGCTTCTTAGATGACCCTGCTGAGAGAGGACCATACCGTACTTGAACACGAGGAAAAATAAAAGACTCTTTGCAATCCAACGCCTTGGTCTCCACTGATGTTTTAGTTCTTTCAAGAATTAGCAGCTGATGTTTTCTTCACGTGTACGTTGTATAGAGGGGTTTTCTATCGCGGGGAAACATGGGGGGGGGGGTAATCTGACACACTTTGATATATTTTAGATTAATGTACAATTTAAGCTTGTTCCTTCGTTCTCTTTTTTCAAAAAGGACCTGAAGTGGCTTCAGGTGGAACATTTGCCTTTCTGCAGCCCTCTTTCGGTTTCTCAGCCGGACTTTAAAAAAGCGGCTTAAAATATGATAAAATCTACTAAAACCCCACCAGACTTGAGATTTGACATTTGATTTTCGGCCTGAGCTGATGCCAAAAATAATTCTGCGTACTTCATATATGGAACACAATGCAAAAAATTCAGTTCTAACCTAGACAATTTAACACTGTTAGCAACGCTGTTACTGGGGACTTGACTGACAGGCCTAAGGGAATGTGTTGTAATCCTATTCACACCACTGATAATGAGCCTTACTCTTACTTACACAGTACATGTACAAAAATGACAGGATGCTGTGATGTCGCCTCATTGAGGTTTGGTTAGAGTGGTGTTAATAGTATAATTCAAAGATGTGACGCCAATAAAAGGGCTCAAATTCACCAGCCTCTATTCTCACGTTGATGACACAGTGCACAGACATCAAAGATGCGGTAATGGAAATTCCCATTTTCATATTTTTGTTCCCTTTTCATGTCGCTCCCCCTGACTTTCATCCCATTCATCCAGATATTCATCCCCAGATTGAACTGAACTCAAAAGCATGCTAAATGAATGAGGCTGAGCATTTGTTATCTCCCTCTTCTCTCCCCCCTCCCCTCTTCTTCTACCTCTTCTTTGATGCCGTCTCGGTTTAGGCCTGTGAAATGCTCTGTTCGGTAATAACGCCACCGCCTTGATTATTAGGCTGCACAATAGAGGCTTGCCTCCTCTGTGTGAGCACAGTGCCATGGTGGAAGGATGCTGCAAGTTAATGTGGCATGAACATATAAATCCTCAATTTTCCTACGCACAACCTCTCTAGAAAACTGCCTTGTGCCTTCCTGCGTATGCCTGCGGCCTTCACTGTTTCACTCCCTCTCTCATAGCTCGCTCGCCCTCTAATTCTCACAGCCTCCCTGCCCATTCAGCCATCACACGCCTCAGGAGAGGCTCAAAAGTGTATGTGTGTACATATACAAGTGCACACAGGTGCATGCCCGCATAAAGCCGGGGGAGGGTGGGTGAAGGGAGGGTCACAGTGAGATGTAGTGGAAAAGGAGGCAGGGGTCTAGTTGGGAGCAGGTGGAGGGGTCTGGGATTTATACTCTTGAGGAGTTGAGTGTGAAATCAATTTGTGTTTAAGAAGAGGGTGAACCTCAAGAAATGATTGCGCTCATCTGAAATGGCGGAGACTGAAGGAGGACGAAGGTGAAAGGAGGAAAAGTAGTGATGAACGAGAGGAGGGAAGATGGGGAGGTGAGAAAAGAAAAACCTTCAGATATAATATAGTTAAACAATGTGAGGATCAACCGCAGAAGAATTCAAGACACTAAAAGTTTTTTTTGAGTTATGATACACCAAGAAATAATGAGGAGAAGCGTGTGAAATGGGCCCTCAACTGCTGTCAGCTGGAATTAGGGCCCTGTTCAGAGACAATCTACAGCTTAAATCATGTGGTTCTGTAGCTGCTAAATGCTCCATATGTGCGCCAGCTGACTGGCTAACTGTTTCTTCCGGCTAGACCGGCTGCACACAGTGGATCTTTAGCAAAGCGCAACTGTGGAGCTGAGTAAAGGGCCGGGTTGTGATTGTGGAATGCAAAAATTTACAGAGTGTCAGACGATTGGAGAGATAACGTACAAGAGTGGAGATGGCGTAAAAGCAGGCGCAGATGACTCGAGCAGTAGCAGCTTCCGTGTACCTCTCATTTCTCATGTGCCCCGCTGTCATACATTCTGCTGCATTTACCGGCTTAGCCACAAAAGGAAAAACTGTCAGGGAGCCTCCCCACAGTGAGACGTTTACTGCTTTTTGACATGGTTGTTGTCATGGCTCATTTACATCTTGCAGGAAACCGCAGGATGCTTCAATTTGAGCCTTTCCAAGAATCCTTAAGAAGCATAATGCATGAATAACTCAAACCATACAGAGGTTAGTGAGTATTTTGCACTTACGTGTCTCTGTGCTGCCGTTATAATGATGGCTACCCTGTCTTGAGGGAGCTGGAATACTGCCCTCACAGTAAATATGTACATTTCAAAGTTTTCGTGTTCAAAATCGGCACTACATTCGCTGTTTTCTTACTGAACCTGACCTCCAGCCTCCTTGTGGGGGAACTGGAGCAAAGGAAGTAAACCTCTGGTGATCAATAAAGCATTGCATCATCGCTAATCAATCTGCTTGTTGCACAGCTTCCTCTCCTTTTCCACCATGTTTCAGTTTGACGGCGATTGACACAGACACATGCACGCAAGCGTACGAAAATACGGATGGTTCTCTGTCACATGCACACACGTGCACACATAAATACACCCAGCGTAAGGCGTCCTGTCAGGTATTGAATAGTCAGTGGAGCAGAGGAGAAGCCCTGGTTATTCATGTGTGATAGTGTTGCTGCACAGGACCCAGCTGGCTCCCACGGAGCCTCACACGTGTGTGTGTGTGTGTGTGTGTGTGTGTGTGTGTGTGTGTGTGTGTGTGTGTGTGTGTGTGTGAGACACGGAGAGAGAAATTGTATGTATGTGTCAGTGGCATGATTGCGTGTGTGTGTGTGTGTGTGTGGAAACAAATGTGTGCGTACGTGTGCACACCTGTCAGCTTGAGCAAATTCACTCACCTGTGACGTCCTCATTCTGTCTCCCTGTAAGCCGTCATTGAGAGTGCTCCTCTCAAAGGCCCAGGCAACACATGGAGAGGCACACACACACACCTTCATATCAGCCATGGGCAGGTGTTGAGATCACTGACTTCTGAAGAGGATTTCACCTTTGGCAGTAAGAATGTCTGCCATGTATTTTCACCCTGTGCAATGAATGCTCCCGCCCTCTCTCATTCTTGCATGTGTGTGCATATCAGAGAGTGCAAAAAGCGAGGAACAGGAAACGAGCACGGAGGGAGAGTGACACAAAGAGTGTGTGAAAGGGAGGAAAAATATGAGCTGTAGGTATCTTTTGGTTTGATGTTGTGACGTTTCTATCACTGCCACTTCAGTTCATCTTAGGCCAAGGCGACAGTGATGTCCTACAAGACAAGCTCCCTCTTTCACAACTGGAAATGCTTCTCTGAAGTAGTTGAGCTGTATTATTCCATCTAGTGGGCTCATATGTGCTCATATGTACTCACGTACATGGATTTATAGATGCGTGCATTTCTTTAAGCAGAACCAAACAAGCTCGTACACAATGCAGAGAAGGTTGCACAAATAGTTATTTGATATTCTATCATTTTCATATATCAAATACTATCAAATACTATAACATATTATTGTAAGACCCTCATGGGTTTTGCATTAAAAATGTTGCTTCAAACCCAAACTCTGTTAAAAACTTGAGGTAATGCATTCATCAGGCACTGGTCCTCTGATGCTAACAACCGTATTATAAAATCGTTGTAGTACCCTTTTGAGTTAAGATATAATATACTTAAAAATGTATTGCTAACATGCAATGTATATTGCAAAATACTGTATTTTCTAAATCCTGTCTCATGAGTCTGAGGAGACCAATTCCTTTTGGTGCATGTGAGAGTTTGAACTTCAATCCAAGTCTGCATAGATATTCATGGTTCATCTCAGACGAGGCCGAGGCCTAGGATGCCAGACTGATGCCAATTACAAAAATGACAGTGAATGACCTCTGTTTGTGCAATTGTGACTACTTCCATTAAAAATGGTAACTCAACTTGTCTTGTAAGAGTTAACAAATCCCAAACATTTTAATTGGACATCCAGATTCATCCTTTTATCACAAGACTGCTCCCTGACCGGCATGTGAACTCCTGGCCTCTTTGATTGCCTGTCAACACTCTCCTCAGGGACGCTAACGCCCTGGCAGCAGATTTTTGTACTTGCTGTGACCACCTCTCCTCTGCTAAATCCCATTGCTCATCAGCTGTGTGTGTGTGTGTGTGTGTGTGTGTGTGTGTGTGTGTGTGTGTGTGTGTGTGTGTGTGTGTGTGTGTGTCTTGGAAGTTATCTAAATGCATCTGTGCTTCAATTTTTTTTTTCTTCGTGTATGCCAATAAATAATTCAAATGTACTCAATTAGAAATGTTGTTTGTGCAGCCGAATGGCTTTGCGTGTGTTTCGGTGTTCATGTATGTGGACTGTGAGTGCAGCAAACATCTCTTCTGCTGGCGGTCCGGGTAAAGTATGCAGCTGCCACTTCAGTTGACAATTGGTCTTCACTCATCGCTGTGACTGTAGCACACACAAATCACATGAGTCTACATGTACTGTAGATGCATGCACACTGATCAGATTCTTTATTCACATAAAGCACATTGCAATACAAACAAGAATACATTAAAGCTGCTCTGCCACCACACACAGATGTGGCCGTATTGTGCATGCTCTTAATCATGTAGTCTATGAATAGCCCGAGGTGCATAGCTTTAAACTATTATCCAGTGTCAGTTTTATTAGAACTTTTCTCATTTACCTGTAACACCAACAACAACAACACGTCTATCACAATGTCACGTTAGTCACCTAATGAGCCACTGTGGAATCACAGTGCAAAAAACCCAAATAGGTGGTCAGAGAAGTCACCATTGGCACACACACACACACACACACACACACACACACACACACACACACACACACACACTGCAGTTTATTGCTCAAACTGCTGCTGTTTTGTCACGACAGTGTGCTTAAAGGGGAGCGACGGAAAGTGGCTTGCTTCATTGGAAGAGGGTTTGACTAGTGCTTTGTATACGTTTCAGTGCGTAGGTGGATAACTACTAGTTTGCAATGTGCTCTTATTTAAATCATTTATCAGTTGGAGCATAACAGAATTTATTCGTACAATTAACATAATACATTGTATACATACATGTATACATACATGTATACAATGTATTTTTACTTTTAGACTACCAACCGTGGTAAATAGAAAAAGCAAAATTTTGACGCCAATGCTAATAATTTCATAATTATGATAAAATTAGAAATTATTTTAAAAAATCCACTATCGACTCACAAAACTGCACCAGCTGACAGCGGTTTTCACGTAGCAATTGGCTCCAACTGACGTCAGCACGCTCCTTACGTCCTTCCTCTACCCTACCCCTCCACGTCATTACGCACCGTTTCTAAACAAAGCTCAGGAAGGGAAAAAAAGCCACGTTGACGTTTGAAGAGTGAAGTGTTGTCCGCGATTTCAGGGGCCAGAATAAAGCAGTGTTTGTGTTTTTCAGACGCTCCGGTTTCTCGCCGCAGACTCCACATCGGTGCAAACATGTCATCGCCGCCGAAGGAAAAAGTGGAAACCAAAGGAGGACATCTCCCCGCAGGTACAGCTCCCACTGCGGCTGATGTTTTTTTTTTTTTTTTTTGAAGGCTCCTTTTAACCCACGCGGGGCCTGTTTTTGTTTCTTCAGCCTGTCAAAAGCCTGTTCGTTCCTCACCCGCGTGCAGTCACTAAATTCCTCGACGCCAGCGACGTGTCGCAACGCTCCGCGCTCCTCAATTTCACACGTTTCCCTACTTCCGGGTTGGCGCGAGCTCCTCCAGCATCGTCATCACACCTGGTGCAATCACTGTAGTAGTCGACTGTTAAAGGTTTTGATTTATAAATGAAGCGGGGAATGCTGCTCGAAATGCGATGACGTGGAGGGAGGGGGGGCGGTGACGTAATCTCTGGAAGTGGTCTAAGGTGTACGTGGACATGAGGCGCGTGGTGGGTCACGGGGCCCTCAGCCGCTGCAGGGACAGATAACGGAGATAACGAACGCACTCTGGGGGAACAAAGCCAAATAGCCCAAATGTGGGCTATAGCTCAGATGTTGCAAATATGTATAGACGTAATAAACAATATAGATGCCATACATAGAGGTTGAAGTCCCCCATCGGTTATGTGGCTTTAAGCGTTTTTTTTAAATCTTTTTCTCCTTGTTTCTGACGAGTGGTTTGTGATCTGTGTTGCAGTGAAAGCTGGCGGTATGAGGATAGTGCAGAAGCACCAGCAGGCTGCTGCTGCTGCTGCTCCAGAACCACCACAGAAAGATGACGAAGAGGAGGAGGAGGAGTACGTCAGCAGGAGGTACCAAAACCCGCACGGTCACGGAAAGAATACTGTAAAAGGAGGAGGCCCCTGTGACTCTTTACATAACATTTCGGGTTGGCTAGCCGATCAGATGAGTCACACAAAATGACCACAATGACGGACAAAGTGACCACAGGGATGCAATATGGCAGCAAAGAGAGCCACAATGACCACAGAGACGCGCAAAGGGAGACAAAACCGCCTCAGCGAAATACTACAAAGAGACAAACTAAATGGCGGCATCGTTTATGTGCATTTTGTGCCTCTTTGGGTCCAGATGTTGGAGACTGAAGCCACTTGGTTCTAGAAGGCTGAGCTGTTGGAAGTTTTGTAGCAGACTTGTTGGGTGCTGTTTCCATCTTACTTAGTAAACAACATAATTACTGCATAATTACAGCATTAACAGCACATTCAGCAGTCGCTATTGTCTGCTCCCAACCGCCCTGGTTTGTTTGGTATGTTTCAAGTCACCCCGGCTCGATTTCCGAGGGACAACAATTATGTTTCCATGTGTTTTTTTATTTGTTTGTTTTTTGCATTGAATGCATTGTTTCTACCGAGGTCACTCCGCCGTGCAAGGTGACGCCAGTTTCTGCTTATTTCCAGTGTAATTGTGTCTGCTTCTACACCGACCACTCAATGAACGTTGGTACAGGTGGAGTGTTCACACCACATATCAGCCCGTGTGTGTCGCTGTTAATCAGAGGCGAGACACGAGAGCTGACTAGCAGTACGTTGCTAACTGTCAATAAGCGCTGTGTGTATTTTTACTTTAGAAACATATGTACAGTACATCCACTGTGCTTGTTGTTTGGGTGTTCTGCTGTATTTCCGAGCAGGGACAGTATCGACCCGTTCCGGCGCGTTTGGTCTTTTCCTTTTTGTTCTTCTTTCCTTTTGTGCTGAGACGAGTGGCAGAAGTGAGACAAGCAGGAATCCAAAAAACAACACGTGAGCTTGCCTTGTGCCTCCTCGAGGTTGGAGGCCTTGTTGAGAAGGAACAAGTAGGAGAAAGACTCCAGCTGTTGCAGACAAAAGGCTGCGCTGGTGGATACACCATGGCCAGTTTAATGCTCACAGTTTATATTAGAAGTTACACATTTAGGGAAGTTGGGTGTTATTATTTGACAGTCCAAAATCTAAAGAAATTTAGTTGACAAAGATCTGTAACGGAAACACAATCCGACCTGAGGTTTAAACAGCTGGGAACTGGGGAATTTTTAGTAATATTTATTCTCGCAAAATTAGTAAAGTTTCAAGAATTTGCGTCCTGTTTTTGCCACAGTCTTTTTCCTTTTATATCTGACACTCCCCCCCCCTCCTGTGTAAACTGGCCAGTTGTTCCCCAAAGCGCCGCAGGGTTTAACAGATGCAGAGTATTTATTGCTTCAAATGTTTCCCTTTTTCAGCTTCCAGTCTGAGAGAAGAATCATTCCTTGTGTTGTGTAAAAGAAAAAAATAGACAAATAGGGGATTTAATCGCTGAGGAAAACAATTTCTGTCCTCTTGGCCTGTGACTGTGTGAATGCACGTTTACCGTCCACCTGTGAAATGTTTGTCTTTAACTAAAAAAAAAAAAAAAATCACCTGTCAGCCCATCCCTTAAAAGAGAGGCTGAGTAACCACACTCCATCAGTAAATGCAGTCAGCGAAACACTGTCTGTCCCTGTCACGCTGATGGACGTCTAGCAGGTGGCTGCTGGGTAAATTTCGCATTAGCCGCAGCCAGCGAAGCGTCGTAGTCAGGGGAACACCTGCCGTTACCAATAAAGCCGAGATGGACAGATGGGGCAAAGGGTGGAGGGATAGGTTGCCGGGATTATGGCGAAGGATGAGCGAGGAGGACGGGACAGGACGGGAGGGTGGGGGGTTGAGTGAGGGATGCCGTCCGTGCTGATATGGAGATAAGAAAGAGCCCAGGCCAGGAGCGAGGAACCGGCAGAAACGCGAGCGGCATGAGCCGGAGCGAGCTGATGAGTCAGCAAAAGCTCCCTGACCGCTGAGGAGGAAAACATCCAGCTGAATCCACGCTTCTTCCTCCGCGTAAAGGAAAACCCGTCAGGTTCGCAGTGAGAGAACACGTGGTCCTCATGGAAGAGGGGTTGGGGGGGGAGAATCAGAGGCCTTTTGGTTGGTTGCACTGTCCCTTCTCCTACATGTTTTGGTGAGAGGTGGATATGTTCCAGAGCCTTCCAAAGAAAGAGAGCGAGAGAGAGAGAGGGCGGGCGGTGCCGTGTGCGCGCTCGACTAAATCTCTGCACATCATTTCCAAATGTGGGAGCTGCTGTGAAATGTGCAGTAAGCTGACAGCTCACGGTGAAAAGTTGAGAGGATGAGGAGGTGGAGGAGGAGGAGAAGCAGCGGAGACAAGCATCAGTCTCCATGGCAACCACCACCTCGCCCACGGGCAACAAACTTCCTGCTCTGCTGAAGCAAACAGAGATGGGTGAGGCGTGGCGTTAGAGGTAAAAGACCGGGAAGAAAACGCCATACCCGTAATTAACATTTCCCAATTATTAGCTAGAATTCTTATCTGCATCCACCGCTCTCCTTTTCTCTCCTCCGCTGTTCCTCTCCTCCCCTCCTGACTCCCAACTCCTGCTCAAAGCGACTCCTCCCAAAAGACTCCTTGCAGCTCTCTGCTGCCCCCCGCAGGCTGGCTCTGTCCCAGTGGTGTCTTTCTCCGCGTGGCCTTCTCTGGGTTTCTCGTTCCACTTTGCCAGCCGCAGAGACGGGACGAGAACTAGGTGTCAGTGTCCTCTGACTCGCTTTCAGGGGGGAAAGCTGATACTTTCATTGTCGGATTATAAGAACGCTCTGACACGCTTACGCTCCTCACTCCGGTCCGTCTGCGTAGTGATGTCTCATGTGTCTGCCCTCGGTCCCTCCGAGCCGTCATGCACCATCCTGGTAGCAACGCGCAAAGGGTTGTTGCTCACGTGCATCAGCATGCAGTGCAGTTAAACGTCTCCCCTCCGAACCAGCTCCGAGATAGAAATGCCCGTTTTAAATAAACAAGGAAATCTTGTATCCTTTTCTTTCTTCCTCTGGCACGATGCACATTCATCTCCCAGTTGTTCCTCAGTTTTTAAAATGTTACGGTCTGACAGGCATGGGGCGAGCTAGCAAAAGCATTCATTTGACTGAGTAACACTTGCGGCCCTAATATGCCAGATAGTGAATTGAGATGCTAATGGGGGAACTTTTCACGCCCACGTTATTATGACAAGTTGCCAGAGATGATTTGATCAGCCAGATTCAACGCATCCATGCATTAATCTAATGGCGAGGTGTGCGTACACTCTGGCTGCGATAAATGGCAGAAGGCCATTCGGTGCCAAGATGTTGATCAGAAGGGGAGGTGAGCCAGATGTGTTGAAAATCCATAATTGTTAATTGATAGTGATTTAAAAAAAGTTCTGCACGGATCATAAAATGAATCAGAAAGTAGCAGATGTTTCCGGAGTGCTCTGATTCTCTCTGCCGAGGCGGCAGTCTGTGGTCTCCGCAAAAAACTTTTCATCTTCCCAACATATTTATGCTGCTAATGAGGAAAGCTGCGAGTTGGGCATTCTGGCTGCTGCAGCTAATGTCTTTAAGTGGAGTTTTGAAGGTGGGCACAACAAATGTGCTCTTTTGCCGGGGGGTGTGACGACAACGCTCGTTTGTCACGTCAAGGTCGATCCTCTCCTCGGGTGCTGCAGTCCTCCTCGTCTCTCTCTGCCTCCGCCTGCCCGTGTCTGAGTGAGCGCTGGCCTCCCTCTCTGCTCCACCTCTTTCTCCTCTTCTCTAACGCCCCGTGTCGATGGAGGCGTTTTCGTTCCCCCGTCCTCCCTGCCCCCTCGCGTCCTCCACTCCCTCCCCTGTATCTGCCCTGACCGGCACCCCCCCCGCCCCTCTTCCTCACACTACTTTTTCATCTCCTTTATCACCATCCTGCTCTTTATCTATCTTTTCCCGTCAAAGCCTCAGTTTTCTCTCCTGTCATGCTTTCCTTCCAGGAGCTGTGAGCCCCTGTGTTTGGCCGGGATGAATGGGCGCTATTTAGTCTGCTGGCAGGTTGTGTGTGTGTGTGTGTGTGTGTGTGTGTGTGTGTGTGTGTGTGTGTGTGTGTGTGTGTGTGTGTGTGTGTGTGTGTGTGTGTGTGTGTGTGTGTGTGTGTGTGTGTGGCCAAAGACAGTAAGACTGTGGATATTATGTGTTTTGACAACTTGGAGTTTCTCATTTTTACTTCACTTTTGGAGGTCTTGACGTGGCCAGATTGGTAAAACCTTTGTAAACGTAGACATGCAGCAAGAGTCATCCGAAATACGTTCGAATTACAAACGCAATCAGGACCGAAATAATCAGTGTTCTTCTTACTGAATTCTATGTTGTTTGAATCTACAAATCGTTTTCAATATATTGTTTTTTTCTCTTCTGTTTTTTTAGTCCACCAAAGGTCCCTGTGATTGTGTCTGGAGTGGTGACAAAGGTAAGACACCCCCCCCCCCCGTTGGGTGTTGGAATCCGCATGATACGGGGGATTATATCTGGACGTGATGTCTGCAGGGAGATGTGGAGGCTTAGTGAGACTAGGAGAGCAAAGGGAATCACAGGAGGAGAAAGGGTTGAGAGTACAGATGAAATATTGTTAAAGTAAGGAAGGGCGCTAATGAATAATTACATTTATTTATTTAAAGGTGATGCTCTGAAGTTGGTTCAAACCCATCCACGAGTGTCATCAGTGCTCAAATATTTAATGGGTCTATGTATTAATTGTATATTTAAAAATTCCTAATATAAGGGTTAATCTGGAAACCATTTATGATGCGTCCCAACACCCCTCAATAACTTCCTAAAAAATTCACCTTTTAAAATCAAATCACCATTCTTACACTCATTTAAACCTCTATTGTTAGGGTTCAAAAGGATCCCGTGTGTGTGTGTGTGTGTGTGTGTGTGTGTGTGTGTGTGTGTGTGTGTGTGTGTGTGTGTGTGTGTGTGTGTGTGTGTGTGTGTGTGTGTGTGTGTGTGTGTGTGTGTGTGCTTGACCTGCCCCTTTAAACAGTGGGTCAAAGTCTGTGGAAGGACCTGTTTGTTTTCAGCTGTTTGTATTGGATTTGGTCTAAGAGCATAGATATGTGTGTGTTTTTTCTGTGTGAAAGAGCGTCACACACACACACAAACACCAGGCGGATTGTTTGCGGATGATTGCGGAAGATTGCAGTGATATCAGCGAGGTGGCAGGCATTCCATTTATCCCTCTCCTCCTGTAGCCTTCCCATTCGGCCCTATCACTGGCATCAGACCCTGAGGCGAGCGCTGCACAAAACCTAAGAGGCCTTTTAGAAGCCAAGTGAAACACTTCAGTGTGTGCGGAGTTCTTTTTCTATTTAATGGGAAAAACGATAAAGATATTTCCTACCTTTTTTCATATTTTCTGTCTTTTCTTTCTCTTCAAAGGAAAGATTTTGTACTGTTTATTTAGGTTACACATTAAGGTGCGGCGTAAAAAAACCCAGTGCAATAATATGAGCCATGATTTAAACTGGAACTGGGATTCATCTCGTCTAACGCTAGGCAGTTATTTGAGGTAATGGGTGTGTTCCTTCCTCCTGTCCAGAGTGGGGTTTTGTGGTTTAGACCACAACTCCTTCTCCATGCCGGGATCGGCTCCCTCAATACATTTATATTCTTTACATTCCCTCCAAAGAAAACCATTATTCTACTGTCAAATAAATCCATCCTACCTCAGCAAAAAACCAGGGGCAGATCGCAAGAAGAGAAAAATATGATGATGCTTATGTTTTATAGTTTTTGTATTATTCCTAAAATCCATTTAGAAATGCATTGTTTAGGGCAGCAACTTCATCAGCAACTCCCAGGACATTGTACAGAAAAATAAAACAAATACAATTGCAAACGATCTGTAGAGATATGGTACTATTTCACATGGTTGCACCGAAGAAATAAAAATTGATTTTCAAAACCCAGTTCACAGTTTGGTGCAATAATACAGTTAATTGGTTGCTACCTCTGCAGTAGGAAAGAAAGGCTGCGAGCTTCAGGAGAGAGAAGAAGGGCAAATGGAGGTCAAAGCCATACACCGCTTATCGGTTAGTGGTGGAATTGGCATCAAATGAAAGAAACACACAGATTGTAAATGTTTTTTGTGCCCACTTACACACACACACACACACACACACACACACTGTACCAACCGACACGTACGGAGGGGATTATGGTCGGTAATAAAGTTCCGCTAGAAGCTTATAAAAACGCTAACATATGGACATCCTAATAAATCATATTTTTGAGACATCTATTGGTTCTGTAATTCTGTTTCTGATGAAGTAGTAACATCCTCAATATAATGGCAACACCTGGGTAAAGAACCAGCCGAACATCAACTCCACTAAATAATACAATTTTCAATGAAATAATTAAGAACCTCCAATGTTAATCCCATTAAGTACGCAAGCTGCGGTGTAACGGACGTTATGTGTAATGCATTTCTACTGAATCTCATCTACCCGCTTGAACTAATGCTTTCTCTGGGTTGTACTGAGGTGGGGGGGGGAGAAGTGTAGTGTGAAAAATACAGGTAGAATCAGGTGGGAAAGAAACAAGAGAAACCTGGCAGGTAAAGATAAAAATAAAGAAGGGATGGATGGAGTGCTGATTGTAGTAAGTGATTAAAATTCAGCACTCCTCTTTGAATGATCAAATTTCAGCTTTGACCCGATTCTGAAGCGAGCTGTTAATGGGTGTTTTTCCTGGAATAAGAGATTGCAGTTGCAGAGCACATGCGCGAGGACAGATGAGAGCCTTCACCAATCAGGGATCCTCATTGTTCTGATTATCAAAGGGAAAGGCTTTTAAAAATGGGACAAAAAAAAGGGGCTCGGAAACTGCAAAACGTTTGTATTTCACAGTCACAAACCCATTGTACCCGTTCCTGTTGGGTTTTCTGTAATTTATTTTTCCCCAATTATTGTATATGCCCATTAGTAATGCGCTGCACTAATTTGTGTGTGTTGTGTTCAGGGCGATAAGGACTTCACCCCTGCAGCCGCCCAGGTCGCTCACCAGAAGCCCCAGCCTTGTGTCTCCAAGCTGCCCGCCGCTCAGCACATCAACCAGCACATCCACCAGCCCCGCAAGTGAACAAGGCAGCAGGCAGCCATGGCTACGCTTACCACCCCCGACCCCCACCCAACCGCATCCACCAGGCACAGATCTGCTCCAAATAATCCGAGTAGTTCACTGTAGGCCTCTTGAATTTCAATGTATGAGATGTATCAGCATCAGACACCTAATGTGAATACAGCCATCATAGAATTATCACCCCCTCCCCTGCTCCCCCGCTGCTTTTGGTGCTGCACTATTAGTTCTGCACTTTCGGGGCTTCTTCTTAAGATATATTGTTTTTACAGCTGTACAGTCTTAAGGTGGAATGCGTGGTGGGAGGTGTTATAATTGCTATAATTGTTTTTGGGGGGGGGCGACACGACGTGCCGGCCATCCTCACATCACAGCAGCCTGTCACTCAGCTAACTAAACGCCGCAGCCTTCTACTTTTGATTTTCACTAATAACCACACCAATCAAATAAATCAGGAGGGGGGGGCGACACACCAATTTTAAATGAATCAACACAAACCAAGAAAAAACACCGAGCGACTTCTCAAATGCTAAACACAGTGGGGGGGTGGATCACTGAGACTTTTGCCAAATTGCAGAGAGGAGAAATCAGACCATACAAGACTGCATTAACCAATCATTGGCCTTAACACTGAGGTTAACGGCAGGTTTGACAAGTGTTCCATTTCAACATTTCTTCATCTATAGATGCCCAACAAGCAGAACCAATGAGATGCAATAGAAAGAAAAGAAAAAACGCCCACATTGCTGTTATGATGGCTTTTATTACCCAAGTAGCTCCTTGACGCATGCCGTTAGTGACGTGACTAAAATGCCAGCTGCGCTTGAAGCCAAACGCTTGTGGTGCTTTTGGGCCGTCGCCAAGTATTCTGCTTTTGCCACAGGTTACATGTCACCGTTGTTACCTTTTATTTAATGGAGAGAGTGATCTCTGTTTTTCCCGCCGCCTTGTCGGAGCTGTAATAATGTCTGTCCTTCCCCGATGTGCTTTGGATGCCAACGCGACCTGCTTCGCGGTAAAAGTATCCCATCAGTGCCTCGTTGGGCTTTTCTGTCCCATTTGACTCGCATGGATTTCCATTTTATTTGCCTCGCACCGGAGTCAACTGGAATGAAATTAGATCCAAAGATGTAATGAAATCTTCTGCGAAGCGGCTGGAGGATGCTCTGTGTTTATTGTAACACTAGTCGGAACATCACAATGCCGACCAAAGCCCGGCAGAGAAGCAGCTGGGAAAATAAGGACGCCATTAACTGTACGATGGAGGTAAAGTGGCAATCGCTGGGCAATAACTTTCCCTAGAAAAGTGTTTGAGCAAATATCTCGTCTTATGTGACGATTTTCAAGTACACTTGAGATTTCATTTTGCCAGGATTTCATCTCCACCAGCCTTATCTTTAATCACCCATTCCCTTACACATTTGTTGCAACACTAATATCCAGGTTTCCATGAAAGAAAGCTAAATATATCTTGCCAAGAAGGAATGATTTCCGCTGATAATTTAAGTTCAAAAGAGTTTTTGTTTTTTTTGGGGGGGGGGGGGGTTCTCAGTTCTTTTTCTGTTCAGTAAATTGTTCAAAATTGTATGTAATTTTAGTCATTGAGTTGACTTTGGTATTAGGTGTGGTTGTCAAAGAAAATAAAGCTATCTTGAAAAAAAATTGCCCTTTTTATTTGAATGAAATGAGTGATGACTGTCGAGACAAAACAAACCCTGTGAATCAGTTCGTAGAATTTCTCCTGTCCAGGTGGATCCCCAGAAGTTGAAAGTGGTCCCACTTGGCTGATTGTGTCCTGTGTCTTACCTCGAGTATTGGAGCGTCCCGTGATGCAGCACCCTGCACTCAGGGATTACGGCTCAGCTGGGGCTTTGAAATGAAACGGAAGCATCTCACCGAGAGCTGTCTACTGTGTTTCTTCCCTCAGCTCCCCTCACACACACACACACACACACGCGTGCAAACAAACCGCATGCACCAGGTGCTAGTGCGTGTAATCCATCTTTACACAAGCATCTGCAACCAGGTGTTCTGACAGTTTATGTTAGCCCAATAAACCGGGCCGGTGCGGGCTTAGCTGGCGCGAGCCTCTTCCAGAAAGCTGTAACACCCCATTAAAGCAGACACAAGCCCCCCGTCTGTCTCTGCGTGGTTTTATATAGTTCTCCCCACGTGGCACAACCCTCATCCGCTGCCAGGCCGCATTAGCCTGACTGGGAGAACGGAATGGGAGCGAATGCGTTACGCTGCTCTGAGGAATCCCTGGTTGTATGAAGAGGTAAATTGGTTCAAAAATGCATTTAAAGCGATTGCACGTTATTGCTAGTCTGGCCCATGGACATTATGAGTCAGCCATTAGCATATGTTGGTGACCCCGCAGAGAAGTCTTCACCTGGAACCATGACAACCCTGGACAAATGAAGCAGACTGTCCCGGTATCGCAAAAGTGCTTTGAAATACCTATTAAGTTTAATTGAACTGTCCCTTTGAATTTGCCTCACAGATTAACGGCTATTACATTTCAAATAATAGGAACATAAGTTCAGCTTTTCACACGTCTGAAGTCTTTAGAGGGACAGCTTTGTTTTAGCTGGTAGACTCATTTACTGGCTCAGTGGTCCGTTCTGGTTGGCACTGGTAACCAGGTCGCTGAAATGACGAGAAACTGGCAAAAGTAGAAATGGCTTTAAATGAACTAATGACAATCACATGTTGGACATCATTTTTTTTATGTCCTATGGTCAAAGTACGTGTGTGTGTGCGCGTGTGTCCTCTAACTAGCATCACAGGTATTAGTGAGCCTATGTGAAGGGACCACACTGAACATGCACCAAAGTGTGTGTGTGTGTGTGTGTGTGTGTGTGTAATTATGTAGGGGAATAAATGCTTTTTTTCTTTCCACACCACAAAAACAGTCAAGCTTCATACTTAATGCACTTTACCTTTAGCGCTACGTCCTCCTTTATGAGCCCTGAGTATACACCACCAGCTGTTAGGCCGGGGTCCTCGGGGACATTTCAACTAGCCCCAGCTAGTTGCGACTGGTCATTTCTTCAGCAAAGCCGGCTGAAAACCTTCCACCAGTGGAAGAAAAGGGTATTTCCAGGCATCAGGGTCGAAATGAGAAAAGTACTGTGACATTTTGGCTTCGGTTTCAGTAAAAACAAACTATTTGCTCTTCCACATTCTTTTTTCCCCCCTTCCAAGCATCACCTATTTTACATAATACAATCCTCACGCCGCATCGACAGCATTTTATATGAAACTGACCTATTTAGGTCTCGGAAGTGTCTAGGAAGCGCCTAAAAATATCTAACAGGGAGTCTAATGCAGAAGTATTGATGAAGTTTGGTGTTATCAACACTCCAGGGAGAAGCTGAGCTGCTCTCTGACAAGAATTCCCAGCTTTGCATCCGTGACAGCGGCGTCACTCGCGGTTCATTTTCAGTTCACACGTCGGAGATCATTGTGATGGAGATTTAATCAAGAGTCAATTTCATTTATTCATACTTTTTCAGCTTTCCAGAAATGGAATTCATTAAGCGGTGCTACTTTATCCCTGATTATATCACACTATCATTTCACAGAATGCTTAAAAAATTGAACTGATACGGCTCTTGTACCTTCTGCGACAGGATATATTACACTTCAAAGTGATTGTGACCATTAGGATAATAATTTGACCGTAGATTGTTTACAAATAAAGCCTCAGATTTTATTGTGAGGACGGAAATGATGAAATCATTTATATTTCCCCTTTTCATCTTCCGTGTAGCACATTTTGTTTGTATAAATAACCACAAATTAAGGTCTGACTATCTGTAGTGACAGTATAACAACTCTCAAAACATTTAACCTGCTGCAATATTGTGTTGCTCTAAAAAACGATTATTGTTAGTTCAATGAAGGTGACTTATTTTACACACCAAAAGAAGTAAGAACAATCTGTTGTGATATTACGATATAAGTTTAAATAATAATATAATTGATACGCTTGTATGTCGATGCAGCTTGTTGTAGAGTCAAAAGTGTTTTACTACAATCAACCAGCAGAGGGCTTCAACTAAGAGTTTCCCCCTAATTCAAAGCATTAACGGAGGCATCCAGTGCTGATCTCGGATGAGGCCGTCCTGCCTGAATCCCAGGCCGTTGCATCTTAGGCATTACATAATCGGTGCCCCAATGTCAGTCCTGTTCGGTCTGTTTGGTCATTGCCGAATGGCCGCGAGGGATGTGGGTCAGAGAGTGGGAGGAGGGCGGGAGGGGAATCGCTGACCAAGCCTTTGGCGCCTCATAATCTCAGGTTACGGTCTAAGCCAACACCTGTTTGGGTTCACCCATGACCTAAATATTCCCGGATCCATCCAGTTTTAATAGTTTTGGGGGTTCCGCCCCCCCCCCCCCCCCCACACACACACACACACTAGTGTGCAGACAAACACATGAAGAATCCAATTTCATGTAATAAAGGTAAACGCATGATGCATCTAAAGGTCGAAATCACAAAACACAAACCGATGAATGAATGTATTTTTTATTCATGGCCGCGTAACAAACTGCCAGCAGAAGACATTGTTGCCCGTGGTTGTGCACTGCCAGCACGACGCCGTTTTCATATGAAACGTTCTCTCATGTTGATGCCAAATATGTTAATCCTCAGTGACCGTTTGTCACTGCAGTCTGGTCAGTTTGTCGGGTTTAGATGAAATTATTTTGTAACCCCATAGCCACTCATCACCATGTTAATTAGACACACTTGTGGATGGCACTTACTGCTGCGGCCACGAGGAGTTACGACCGTGAAATTGCGCTCTGACATTATCAATGCTCTCCTTGCGGTTCAGTGTGTTTTTTAAACTGTCAGCCATTATTTCTTCCCTGTTCGAATGCTAAAACAGGGAGCCGGCCACTCGGTCTATAATGTGTCGACTGGTTTTATCAGAGGGTGCATATGTTCGGGATTATCACTTCAATCCTACATATAATGTCACCTCGGTTCACCCTTCTGCTGTTGCCAGCAGATCAAACAGATGCCTATATTGCTTAATTTATTTATAAAAATAAAGCTTTCCCCACGAACATGTTGGAGGGGTTTGATTAGTGTAATAAAGCATCACTGTACCCAGCACACACCAAATGTAAGAGCAGGGGTTGCTTTCAGCACAACGATTTGGGGTTTTGCAATGTAAACATTTGAGATTGTAACAGTGCTTCACATTTCTCGAGAGTTAAGACTAGAAAACGTAGCTGTTTGTAAGTGAAAATTAATAAAAAATAAAGTTTCTCATCAAAAAGCATTCAAAGCTAAAATAGAAAGTTTATATGTAAATTACATTCATGGGTTAGTCATTACAAAGCAGAACCAGAAGCATCTAGAATATTGCTATTAAAGCTTTTTCAACATGACACACCGGTGGGTTTTCTCCCGTGCATCATTTCAAGACTATAACAGGCAGAAATATTAACTTATTTCTGCTGTGGTTACAGTTGAACTCACTGTAAAAGCACTGCTGTATTGAACACCAAAAGCGTTATAAAATATAGACTAGGCCATCCATCGAAAAGTAATAAATATCAAAAAAATAAGTTAATTCAAATCATTTCAAGTATCAAATCCCCCGGTTAATCACTGGTTGACATCATGAAGGACGCTGAGCATTGTGCATGTGATGCCGCCAACTTGCATCCCCCTTTGCAGCCTTCAGTCTTTTATTCTCCTTTTAGAAAACACATCTGATTATTCCTATCATGCCGAGAAATATCAAAGCCACATCTCTGAAGCTGAGGTGTTCATGGCAGTATTATTTCCCATCAGCAGCAAGTTTTTTCTTGGTTAGAACCTCCAGCCTCCTCCTCTCTGCCTCCTCAGCTTTCCTCCGTTCCTCTTTGAGCTCCTTGTACCGCCACTTTGGTATTTGCAACAGGTGCCCCCCTCCGTCCTTGGCGCTGCTCCTCCGCCGCATCTTCTCTGGGTGGTACGTGGGCGTGGGGGCCTTGGAGACCCGCACCTTGGGAATGCTGAACCCTGGCCTGACGCTGCTCCTCCTCAGCACCATGTGCAAGGGCAGCAGGCTGGTCCGCCGCAGCTCCAGGGCCTCGTTATGAGTCGCCGCGCTGAGGCTGGAGCTCCGGTGGCGAGGCGGCGCGCCCTGGGCCTGGAGGCTGGCCCGGCGGTCCACCGTGTTCTTGGCCACCAGTGTGACCCGGGAGTTCTGGAAGAGCTTGAGGTGGCTGTCCACCCTGTCGGGGTTGATGGAGCGCAGCTCCTTGGCGCGCTGCTGGCGGATGATCTCCGGGACCGCGTAACGCCGCTTGCCCACACTCGGGGGGCTGTCTGGACACACCTGGAACAAGAGCAACAGACCCTGATTTTATTATATCAATATTTGTAGCACTGCAGTAGCAATAGTAGTGATAATTGGGTTTTTTTTACTAACAAAATGCAGTGATCAGTTTCCCTTTTTATTTGCAGAATTGTAGAACTGGTAATCTTGCATGAATAACCCGCTTATCAGATAAGACCGACGTTAATTATAGGCTTTAATTATTATGTGCAAATTCCATGAAGAAGCGGATAATTTGATGATCAAAAGCAAAGATAAATTAGCGACAGATTTCTCCTTCAATATCGTCATTTCTAAAGTATTATCATTTGTTTATTTATTTATTATAGTACTCGATGAGAACAATAAGATAAGTAATTTACACACTGATACAAAAACACACAATTATTAGTCTGTGGAAGGAAATTTCCACATTTTACAAGAATGGTTGGCTTGGATTGGAATGATACAGAGGAGAGTGGCTTCAAACTGTTGGGAGTGGGCGGGACATTGGTGGACATGTAGGGTTTGGGGTTGATGGATCTGGCGGGATACTGTTTAATGCTGATGAATGAGTCCCCGGATAACAAAGGGTAAACGTGACCTAGAGCCTAATTACTCACTGTATGACATGCCACAGCAACCACCGGGCACCTCATGGCCGTCGTTATGGAAACCATGTGGTCAATAACGCCTTGATCCTCGGGGTTGGTGACATTCGAGATGTTGAAGACGTTCCGCACGGCGTCGGACAGACGCTTCAGGCACCCGCGCGGCTCCTGGGCTTTGGCCGCCAGTGATGCCAGTGGGGGCCACTCTGGACTGGGAGAACAAAATGTGAATGTCACTCACAAGGCCCCTTTAGCACTGACCCTCCTCATCCCTCTTCCTATAAATACAATCTAAACAAGTTTCAAGCGAGAGCTCCTGCAAGTTCACCTGTATGTTTCAGAGCACTGGTGCGGGCAGGGCCGTTCCATCAGGCGCGTCATCACCCAGGCAGTCTCATAGCGGCCCGTAAAGGAGGCCCACTCCCTGGCGGTGAAGTTGCGGCCCGAGTCCCTGGCATTCATGGCGGCTCCTGGTGGTGACGCAACAAAACGAGGTTGAAATATGTGAAGAATGTAGCAACAGGCGCATACAGAAACATACAGATCAAAGATACGATGCTGCGATCTGTGTGCGCGTGACAACGCACTCGTCATACAACCCTCACAGAACAGGCAATACGTGTGCACGAGTGAGTCGGACGCGTTTTCCTCACCCGCCATCATGAGCGAGCGCACACACTCCACCCTGCCCTGCATGGCGGCCTTCATCAGGGCGGTGAAGCCGTGGCAGTTTCTCCTCTCGATGTCCAACCCGGAGTAGTAGTTGAGCAGGTAGTTGGTGATGGTTATGTGGCCTTGAAGGAAAGAGGGACGGACGGTTGTTACCGTAAGTCATACCGCGTACGTGTGTGTTTGTGGGTCAGTGTGTGTTACCTGCTTGAGCAGCAGTGATGAGAGCCGTGTTTCCCTCGCTGTCCTGCCAGTTGACATCCAGATACGGACACTGAGACAACGCTATGACGACGTCCACGTAACCTTGGTAGCACGCGACCAACAGCCCTATCTGAGACAAAAAACCAGAGGAGTTGAAAGTTTAACATGCAACAATATCAGAAAGAAGTAGTGATCATCTGCAGAGAGCCCTCCTCCTGGCTGAAGCGTCTCTTTTCTTATATTTATGTGTTCGGGACATTTCTGGTCATCAGTAAAGCCCATTTGGACACCACCAAGTGGGGAACAAAGAGAACCGTGTTGAACTAAGTGGAAAAACAAGCTGACACGTTGTGTACTTTCGTGCGATTGATGCCGGAATAAGAACCCCTTTTTTATGTGCGCGGACGTGTGTGTAAATGTTAGTCTGCGAGTGTAAGTTTCCGGCGGTCCTGGAAAACTGAAAGGTGCACACTTCACTCGCCAAGATGTACAGGTTTACCACCAGAGGCGGGTTGGCGGGGGGGGGAAAGCAGCACGCGGAAATTAGGAACACTGAGTTCTCAGTTGACATATCGTGAACATGGTGTGTGTGAAAGATTTATGAAAGACAAATCTTTTACTTTCACTCGCAGCACAGGTGGACATGCTGAGAGGGTAATGCAGAAAGCCAAAATGTACAAAAAGGCAGATAAATGATAGGATTTAGGTGATGGCAATGAGTGTCTCTCTGAAAATGAATTAGAACTTGGAGGATCTTGATATCTTTTGTCACTCAACGTCTTTTGTTCCATCACAGGCAGAAAGATAATGTGCTACATTGAAATGTACTACTATGGAAGTAGTAAAAACATGTACTGACAAAACCGTTTGATACCAGATAGTCATTACCAACAGTGAAAGATCCGATTTGTTGTTCACAATATCCTGTCAAGCTAGAAGAACCTACAGGGCCTTTTAATTGGTGCTTTATTAGACCTGAGTATGCTGGAAAGGTCAACAAGCGACAAGACAAATATTAATTTATTCGGAAAAAGGTGCCAGAAATAGCGTCGGCGTCTTCATTAACCTTTTATTTCCAGTCCTGAATGAACGTTGCCAGGTTTAATGGCTTATCAAAACGAATGTATTGTTTGACATGCCAAAATAAAGAAAAGAAAATCATCATCACGGTACGTAATACCCTATATAACATGAAAGAATCGTGAAAGTACAGTCCTCTGTTCTTTTAGTTTAAATTGTTTGAGACAGGCATGGTGAGTAAAAAAATAAGGCAATTTTTCCATCCCAGCCGGATGCTGTGAACATCAAACCTTTCTCATAAACAGAGTTCAGACTGAGGGAATCAGTTCAAAGTATTATAATGTTTCGATGAGTTCTTACAATATGTTCCACATTTGATATTTCTTCCGTGACATGCTGTTCCCTTCATAAGGGCACCTCATGAAACGCACTTGACGCTTTGCACCTCTTCGCACGAGCACACGGCGTTACTCCCCTAAATTATTCCATTGAACCGCCGTGGATGTGATCAAAAGTTACGTCTCCCTGAACTGAATAAATGTAATAATGACAGAGAGGTTAGTTGAGGGACGGCCTGGAGGTGTGCAGACGACATACAAAGATAAGACTACCACACTATACAAGTCTCATGCAAAAAATCAACCTCAGGCTGAACTTCACCCTGAAACTGCACCCGGCTGCAGGTGAGGTGCAGAGAGGTCCTGCAGGAGGAGCTGATGGGATTGTCTGGAGAAGAAGTTCACTCACACTGGCTGCAGAACAGCTTTATGTGGACAGACACACGCACGCTGACCTGGTCTGTGTCTCCCTCTCCCTCTCTATCTCTCACACACGCACACTCTTTCCTGGCAAGCCTCCCGCCTCGCTTGTGCTGTACTTTAGCGGCGTGTCTGCAGCAATCTCAGTCGTCTGGCAACGTCCTATTTTTTCTTCTCCAAACAAACACAATCAACTCAGCTCCAGTTTTGTGCACAACACATCCCGGTCTTGAATATGTGTTACATCTACTATAAGGCACTTGGCCAGCGGCTGCTCTGAGAGAAGAGCCCTGATGAAATGCGCACACACACACACACACACACACACACAATCGCAGAGGTGCACATTAATCGGGAAAAGCAATCATGTGCTACACAAGATTACCCACTCGATGTCTGAATGTGAGGGCCAAAAGGGATGGAAATAACAGCGCTACCAGGTAGCTCAACAACCCTGGAACACCAAGAGAGGTGCTTCCAGGGATGGATGAGTGTGTGCGCAGTGCACGTGTGTGTGTGTGTGTGCGTGTGACTCACAAAAATGTAACGGCAGACTTTGATTTACGGCGGCTTCGGGGGAGGATTTTTTTAAATATTTTGTACGTAGGCCAAACGGAGATGCCCACTATGGTGATTTTAATTCTGACGGACGTCGACACACGCCCTCCCTGACTAATCCGCTCTGTTCCATTACACTGCTTTCACAAACTGAGTTCATTTTACCCCCAAAATGTCTCTCTGATGATGGTGCATTTTTTCTTGACATTTTCTTTTATAATAGCTTGTAAAGCGAAGCATAAAGTAGCATATGTTACGTTTAAAGCACCAAATGGCACGTGGTGTTAAGTCATATTTAGTCTCTTGATACTGAATTAATATTAATATACTGAATTAATATTACTATGATCTAATACAAGTAGGTAGCAATTTCTTTATTTTTAGGGCGTTCACATGGGATATGAATGTGGACACAGCTTTATTTTTTTCACACAGATATCAAATCATTAGCGTCTCAAGCTGCTCTACAACATTCAACCACTCGGGAGGATCCGTCCTTCTGCTTAGATTAAAATTCCAGCGAAGACAAATATTGATTTTTAGTTTAATTGAAGTAAAACGTGAATTTCAAGGCTCTGAAACTGTCTGAATACAGACACACAGATTCTGGTCAACTTATTATTAGCTCATATAAACACATGTACACAGACAGGAGCGCACACACACACACACATACACACACGCACAATGTAATCTGGGGAATATCCAGTGCCAGGAATAGAAAGGCTTAGTGGTATCAGTCAGTGACAAAGAGGGAGAGAGAGGGGGGAGGGAGGGAGGCAGACGTAACTGTGGATGTGAGAGTGCTGTAGTAATTGGCTCCAGTGAGTGTGACACAACACCCCGTGTAACCCTTAAAGTTCCTTACGGACACAATACCTACTACAGGGTTCATAGGATCAACAGTGCTATCAATGGCTTCTTCAGAAAAGAACGGTTGAATTGATGGACTCCAGCTAGCCCTTCCGCTCTGTCCTTAAGTCCAATGAACTTCCTTTTTCATGCCCTGAAATAAAAGGGAAATTCCTTCCCGTGAAAACTGTAGCACACAAACACGAAACAGAAACAGAAACCTTTATGATGCCACGGATTAGCCCTCCATGCTGGAGAAACCAGGAGTTTTTGAGCTTCCTCTGTGGGTAATATGCCTCCTTCAAGTCATCCAGACCAGCGCTGTGTCTGGACCAAGTTTCTGGTGTTTTACAGTACATCTGTACATTTGTGTGCAAAGACGTGCACACGCGCGGGCAAATGCCCTGTAGGCCGCCCTCAATCGCGCTCAGCAGAAGCACTTATGCAGACTCACTGGGCCACGTTCCTGTCAATAGCCTCCCTGTCCCGTCGGCAGCCGAGCGTCCGCATGGCTGTATCAAATCAGATGTGTACGACTGTCGCTTTGATTTTTCCACTCATCCACAGCATCATGCTCGGTACCGTCTGCCGTGCCAAATTTCTCTCTCCCTCTCTCTCTCTCTCTCTCTTTCTCTCTCGCTTTCTTGTCCTCAGTTTGCCATTTAGTCTGCTTGCCTGTCGCCCCGATGGCCGATGATGTCGTTGGTCGCCTGTCATATACACATTGCATTAAAGGATTCCCCGATATCTGGAAAGTTTAATTGGGTTCTACCGGAGAAGTGTGTGTGTGTGTGTATGTGTGTGTGTGTGTGTGTGTGTGTGTGTGTGAGAGAGAGAAAGAAAAGAGGGAGGTAGTGGGGGGGTGATAACAGTTAGGCAGGGTGACCTCATTTAAATGTATTGAATTATGTGTTTGTGTGTGTGTGTGCTTGCATATTCATCGAGTTTGCATGTGAGCAGGAGAACATGACACGGCCCTAAACAAGGTCAGAGGTGCCTGATGATATTGATATGTGGATATATATATGTTAACATACTCCTGAGGTAATCCTGGTGTTTACTAACTTGCATGTATCTTTTTTTTAACCCAATGCCAATAGTTGGTGTGAATTTCATCCAACACATCTGCTTCGTCCCGTCACAGCAGTGAGAACCCGCTGAAGGGATTCTGATTCTAACGGCATATAGAAACTGTGGCGTAATCAAATAGAAGTAAAATTTGATACACGTAACAGGACATTCATAATGGCTGGTCTGAAGTTTCTTGCTATAATTAGCATGTGTTTTGAGGATGGGCAATTATGTTGTGATTGTAATTACAGTTAATCAGGGTTTCAACATGCAAACTTGGCCGTGAAAAGTAGTTTTTTATTGCATTCAAAGGCCGGATTGAAGTTTCCATGGAGGAAATAATTGAATGTACTATTTACATGAATTTGCTTAAGCGTTCTCATAAGTTTATACTTTATACTCATTTACAAATTACAATAGAGCATGTACCCAAAGTGCAGGCTTTTAGTGCTCAGTGAAGATAGATAGTAGGTTACATTATCAAACATTTGTTGTTTTGGTCTTTTCTGATGCGTGATGTGGGGCTCATGTTTCACTAAATGTTGTTTGAGGCTATCTGACTAGATTTCTACCATGCGTGTCTTATCCTTAATCCTTCCCATGATGCACGGGTGTCCACAGGAGGTATTGTTGACGTTTCATTAACTTTTTATCATGACCATATTAATATATGTTGGTTAAAAACCAAGGATTTTTTTCTTTTCTTACATTGATTTCACACACATTTCGGCAGTTTTGGCAGACAGTGAGTGTAGATAAGAGCCAGTTTCTTTCGTAGTAAAACAGATACCAGTATGTCATAGAACATTTCATACAAAGTCATTTTAAAGTATGCCAGAAAAAATGTAGTGAAAAGTCAGAGCAACATAGTGTGTTAATGAATGACATATTATATATGGAATAGAACAATAAAAATGACTCCATGTTCAACCTTTACAGAGTAATTGTATTGTGAGATATAAAACGTTATTGAAATGTAAGAATATCCCAAGGTGTCATAACAGGTCACAGAATAGCATGCTGTAAAAATGTCACTGGAAAGGTAAAAACGTAATTAACATTCATTGTTTAGTATGACATAAAAATAATCATTTGAAATCACAATATCATGTAATGTCCAAAAAGTAGTTGTGTGCAACACAAAATATTAAAAAGTAAGCGAAAATAAGCTATACGATGTCAAGTTACAGTATGATTCTATAAAAGGTCAAATAGTCAGTAATAATATGAAGCCGCGGCGCATTCAATGTGGATTTTTGTTCTTTTTTTGCAATAGAAATGTCCTAATAAAGTCATAGTCTATAGAGTCAAAGTATAGTATATGATAATAAATAAATACATTCGGTGGAAATTAAAAGTTCTGCCAAGTAGATTTGTGGCTTCGGCCAGCAAATGAAAAAAAATAAATGAAACCAGCGTTGACTTTGCAGAAGTTCCTTTATGAATAATACATAATCCCCACCAGGTTACCAGAGAATGCCGAGGCAACAAATGATGGGTTTTACCAAGTTTCTGCTAAACCAGGCAAGTGTACGACCTTTTCTGCGTCGCAAGACCCTTTACGCTCCCTAAAATACCCCCCCAACAATGAGGGAAAGGCGAAATAGTGACAGCCTGGCCTGTGACTCCCCTCTGTCTTCAAACCACACTGTCAGGCTGTCCGCTCTGTTAGGATGTGGACATCTGTGTCAGGATGTTGAACACACACACACACACACACACACACACACACACACACTCAGAGGCAATAATGACTTTAACACATTCATACTAACACATGTTTCTAATGCAGATGTGGCCTGAACTGCATTGTGTCCAGGTTCCTGCACACCCCTGAGGTCACAGGGCACCGCCAAGCAAATGGTGAACGCACTCGCACACACGCACACAGACACACACGCACACACACACACACACACACACACACACTAGCCATGTCAAAGCGTTCATGGTCTGCCCAACAAATTACTCCAATCTGTCTTGCGTGTCCCACAGAGGAGAGGGGAGATCTTGGCATTCCAATGATGTCATTAGGATGCTTCCTTCCCATGACCTCATTGTAGAAAGGACTAGGATAGATGGGTGTAACCTCCAAGCTTAGGGACACAGATCTGTGATGTAAGCTCAGTAGTATTCAAACACAAGATGAGTCGGGACATTCTCTCAAATTCTCTATTGCTTAGCTTTAGTTGTCGGTCGTAGAACCGTGCGGTTATATTCCACATGGGAAGGCCTACAAGGAAGGGCTGCTCATGACAAAAAGGGCTTTGTCAACTCCTTTTTCAGAACACAATTATAAGAAATGAAAACATGTACTCTTGAGTCACAACAATACGAGATTTGGGACCAATGATCTCTTCACGGCATATTGCCTTTTGCCAGTTAATTCAATTACTATTAACAAAATGTCCAGATGAACGAAAACTGGTGTGGCGTTCCATCATTATGGATTTGTCTCTCTGCCCCGGGATGCAGCGCTTTGGCAGGAGTGAAGCGATACACATTAAGAGAGACATGCTTCAATTGCACAGAATGTCCGATCATTTCCCAATAAGCAGTAACTCTTTATGATGAATTGTTTTTAGTGAAAATGTGTTTGTATAATTTGTAGTCAAGAGGCCCAAAATTGTACAACTCTTGCACACATTCTGTTGATGGTGTGGAATCGATCGCTGTAAGATGCGTCTCCGGTCTTCATAGTAGTTTGATTTGCTCCTAAACACAGAGTAAGAAATGCGCACACACACTCCTACACACATGCATGACCACACACACACACACACACACTCTCTCACGCACACAGAGGGCCGTGTGTTCGGCTAACCGTGAGACTTCTGTGTTTTTATAGAACTTGAGGCTGCTCCCTCTTGCAAAACTGAGGTCAGTCAACACACACATGCACAGACCTGTCAGAAAAAACGTCGTAGGTATGAAAAACATTTGGGGTGAAGGTGTGAGCTTATAAAAATGAGCGAAACCAGAGCAATAAAAAAGTTAAATGTGTCATTCTCAGCCAACTGCTCGGCCCACGTCTCTTTTAAGCAGCATGGCGACTGTTTGCTGTCCGGCTCCCACTTGTTGGAATAAACTCCCCATTAAAATCAGGACAGACGAAGGTCCATAAACTAAAAACACACCTCTATAGCAGCTTTTTAGTTTTTAGGGGTCAGTTCAATGTGCTTTTTGTAAGTCGCTTTGGATGACAGCGTCAGCTAAATTAAATGTATTGTTACATGTGGTTGTTACCTCTTTTAATACTTTTTGAAGGTTTTCATTGAGAGAGGCCGCAATGCAGCGCCCCAGGGGCCCACGGCAAGAACCCGAGGTTCTTTTGAACGTTTTAAGTTGTTAAAGTTCCACACGAAATAACAGACCCACAACACCTTCTGCGCGCCTGGTTCCGGAGTGGAGTCAGCCTGTACCCAAAGTGACCCGAGCGGGCATGCACGCCTTTACCCTGTTGTTCCGGTCCTTGCGGTGGACCTCCTCCTCCTTCACGCCGCGCCGCACCATCAGCCGCACGACGGACGCGTTGTTGGAGCAGCACGCCCGGAAGAGGGACAGCGGCTCCGGGCTCTCCGGGGACGGGGTGCGCTCCGAGTCCGCGAACGCATCGTCCGGCGGGTAGAAGGAGTCGTCCGACACGATGCTCCGGCAGTCCTGCAAGTCCTCAAAGTCAACTTCCTCGGACTCGTCGTCGTCCTCGTCCTCCTCTTCCTCGTCCTCCTCCTCGCACGAGCCCAGGTAGTCCTCGTCGTCGGGGCGGGACGGCGGCTCCTCGACGATCGTCGGGTGGACCAGGGTGCTGTTTCCCCCGACTTTGTGCTGCTGGTGGAGCTGTTTAACCCGCAGCGACGACACGCCGCCTCCATCCCTGTCGTCCGTGATCAGCACCATCTAACCCCCGAGCCCGGGGCACCGTCCTCGGGGCGGAGTGCAGCCAGGCGCGCGGGGCGCTGGCATGGGACCGGCGGCCGTCTCTCCGGACCACAACTCACTCCTAATAACACAAACCCCGTAGTCCACAGTGGGCCTTCTGCGCGAGTGAGAAGTTGAACGCCCCACGAAGTGTCACAACAACAGTACCCCCCCGAAAGGAAGCGACGTTGAGTTGCAATTAGAGGGAGTCGGTGATTTGCGCACGTGGAGCAGCAGCAGACTGGTGGAGTGCTGCTTCACGGCCGTCCCATGTAGGGCGGAGAGACAGCAGCCTGTTAGTCACAATAATCCGATTAGACCTCTCTCTCCCTCCCTCCAGATTATTCCTAATCCCGACAGTGAATCATGAACGTTCTCACGAAATACGTCCTCTCTATTTCTGTTAGTTACATTACGACGCATGTTGCCAAATGTGCTGTTTCTGCGTCTTTTTTTTTCGTGTTTTCAGGAGATATTGGAAAAAAAAGTAAAATAAAACGCTTTAGGGAAAGATCATAATCTGTATGAAATGATGATACTCTACATCTTATTCATAAAAAATCCACAAGAGGTAAACCGCTATTATGGTGTTGAAAAAAGTATGTACAAGTCACCACTTTATTTCAGAAGATTGTGTAACAATTAAGTGACAAGCATTTTTCAATTATATTGTCAAATGTGTTCCATTTTTGACCACAGTGTGGTATTTTCCTTGACCACTGGCCAGTTGAGATAATAGAGATATAGATTAGGATTACTTGGCTCAGTGAGAGAGTTGGACCTGTGTACATGAACAGTTACATCTCACAGGAAATTCATGCTGATTTCTTTTGTATAATCTACTGGGCTGGTAGAGATGCCACCGTATAGGGACTGAACAGAGATCTTTTTTTTACCAAAATGAAAAAAAAAAATCACTTTAAAATAAGAGACAAGAAAAGGCATTGGTTTAGTGTCCATTATTTACTTTGAAATGATCATTCCAAAATAATTTAATAAGATGACCATGTCACTACAATGATTTGTCATGTTGATATTGATCCCACCGTTGGCATCAGCTCCTTCGTTGGATGTGCTGTTTATTGTGGTTCACCTGTGAGTGAGGTGACCTTGTTCTTACAGTCCTATAAGGCTGCAGGGCTAAGAGGTTTACACCAGTAGGGTTAAGACTCCACCTCCTACATGCTGTTTCGATGCAACCCAAGGTGTCTTTTACATACATACATACATTGCCTTTACCATTCAAAGATAAACATAATACCGAGTCAAATGATAAGAGATTATCACAAATGTGTGACAGTTTTGTGGGATTTCTGCAGTTCCTAAAAGTTCTGCTTGCAGGCAACAGAATTCTTTACAGAAATGTTCCCCGTATTTCAGTAATTATAACATCAGTTTGCTGACACCAGCTGCTGTGGAAAAACCAAGTGCATAACAGTCCCAGTGTGTGTGTGTGTACGCATTATTATTATACCTTCATCCACCCCCAGCTGAGGGCTCTGCTCTCCTGTGGCTCCTCCATCTCTATGGCATCGGCCTCCTGCTGTGCGGGTGACAGTCACTTCCAGAGATGTATATCTGGTCCAGCCACAGGCACAATCGCTTGAGGAGGTCGTGACGAAATAATACTTTTCAGTTCATATTTTGGTGAAAAAAAAGGTTTCTGGTGAAGTTTGGGTTAATTTGAAATAGTCACCATTTTAGACGTGTTTGTAACTCCTCACTTCCTCACTCTAAAAAGTGACTAGGAATACAATAGTCTTCATCCTTTAACCAAAAACCTTCCTCATCCATAGCGAATACTCCTTGAGTAAAATGGGCAGACAGTTTGTTAGAAAAATTTCCCAGTAAACGTAAAACTAAAAATAAAGTTGAGTCTCTAGAATAATCACCCAACATTATAATGAACATAGGATTTATTTTAAGGATGTTGTGTTAGACCACATTTTTTGGTGGATTTGTGGACCTAATAAATATATATACATATATATATATTTGTTTTAAATACATTTAAATACTGAAAGACACATTCGGAATTTCAAGTAAAGCACATGTTTGAAAATCTAATCAACTGTAGTGGAGTGGAAATGAAAGTATTCTGTATTGTGTTGATTTATTAATAATTTATTCAGTATTGAAGTTGTGTCTTCATTGCAACAAGCACGACATGTTCGCAATAACGACAACAATATACTGTTTGTACAAAAGTAAATTGCACAATTTGCATAATTGTTAAACTACCAAGACACCACTGATTCATTGGAGTCCATCAAATTGCAGAAATGTATCAGAATTCTAGATCCCTCAATATTGCAAAGTGTAATAGAAATACGCTGTTAACCACACGACAGCAAAAAGAAAATGACTCTATATTTCCCCTGTTGCATCAATCTAATTCACGTTTTGTTTTTGCATCACATGATGTTAAGGGAGCTGTATTATGAATTCAAATAAACACCAGTGCTCACAGCACTTATTTGACACTCTACAAATATTCATCTCCAGCTAAATGGAAGGAAACTTGATTATTTAAGAAGGCTTGCAGTTGATGTAGGATGAGAACTCCAGCTCCTTGAGATCTCGCTCTGGTTTATTTTCGGTCGCAGGCCGGGGTCAGCGACGCAGCTGATGGGATTTTTGTGGTTCATTCGAGTCCACTTCGTGGGACCAGATACCTCAAAAACCGTTTGATATTTAATATCTTTAATCTCCCAAAAAAACTAAGATAGATTCGATCGGCCAAAAAGTTGATTGATGATGTCTTCTATTTCTCTACATCTCTCTATGCTATTTGATCAAATATGTTTTTTTAAAGTTGGGCGGATTTTCCACAAGTGATCAAAACCGAACTCCAACTTTAAATCTGCACAGGATACTTGAACATTGAGGTACATGTCGGACTGGGCAGAATGTGTTTTAAATATGTCGTTGGTCATCAGCACAAAAAGGGTGTTTATATAATTAGCATTGAAATGTTTCCTTTCCACCATTATACTTCTGGGAAAGCTTTTTTATTCAACAGTTGTTTTTTAATCATAAATACAATTTTCAAACATCTTCTTTCTTAAGATGGCTCATTAGGTGCATTTCCAAATGCACCTAATGAGCCAATTACTTCAATCCTGATAGGGAAGGTTTTTTGGCGAGCTCCCGCTGTCCTTCCCCCATTCAGTTGTTTTATTTACACTCCCAAAAACCCTGAGCGGCCAAAACACACCAACACACCACGGCCTCTTCTCGGACATACCTGAAAGCAGCACACAAAGATCTCCTATGAGTCTTGACACAAGTGCTCAACTGTTTGAGTTTCAGTAGGCGCGTGGTGCTAAAGTGAACGTTTGTCCAAAATAGTGTTGAGTGTTTTTGAACAGGCTGCTTGTAACTAAGATTAGCCAGAAAATGACTTCCACTTTATGGCAAAGGCCTAATGTGGTGATTAGCAGTAGCTTGATTAGAAATACTTCATATTGTCAAATCAGTTAAGGGCGCCAGGAGTGTCAACACTGTGTGTTTCATAAGCTATGAGACAACACTTATGCGTGTAATCAAGGGCGGAGAAAGGTTGAGGAAATGTAATATTCCACAAGGGGTCATGTACACATTTTAATCAGCCAGCAACGACCCCTAATTAGGTTATTTTTGTAATTTGTTTTCATGTGTGCAAGAACAACTCTTAATTACAGGCTGGACAAATGAACGTAATTTATTGTTAACATATCCAACAAACGCTGGTACACCTGATCAGGAAAGTAGTATTATTAATAAATACATTCAAAAGTTTACATAGACTCAAATACATACTATTAAGAAAAGAACCCCCCTCCCAATGCACGCACACACACACACACACACACACACACAAACGCACACATAACGTCTTTGGGTGAGGCCGAGAAATTAAACGGAGGATACTGAAAGTCCCAGAAAAGTGTTGACATCAGAGGAAAACCCCTGTGACTTCTCTGTAGAATTACAAAGTGAATATATCATCTATGTTCTCACTCGTGTATTTGGGGATTGTGAGATCATGATTCCATGAAGAAGATAATTGGGCCTGAATAGATAAATGCATTTGGTCATTTCTGTCCTTCATCATTCTGAATCAGCTTTTGATGGGGTTTTTTGTGGAAAAGTTTGAAAGATAAGAAGCAGTTGGGTTCGTATCCTCCAAATGGATGAAGTCCAGCGGTTTTATCATCCCGCATTGGAGCACCCTGAAACAAAGCGGGATGTCAGACATCTAGGAAATACATTTTCACTGCATAACACAACCAATTGCCTAAATCTCCAGTAGTGAAACGCACTGACATGATGCTGCAGAATGCATTGCCTCATGCTTCTGCTGAAATCTGTTACATAACAGCTGAAGAGGGGGATGCTTAACCCAAGCAAATCCTGTACCAGCGTACCGGTTGAGACAGTCTACCGCACAGCCCCAGCTACAACCAATAGAACTTGGAGCAGAACGCTGGGCCGCTGAACACAGAGAGCGAGACAAAGTCCTTCTCTCGGCCCGTAGAGACCAATGCAAATCTGCTGACATAAATTGTCAGAGAAAGCAGAAGGTACAAGTTTTGGAAACTGGCAGAGACATATAAATCATAGAGGGAAGCTGCAACACCCCTTGTTTCAATAAAGCGACAACTTGATCATGCCACATCAGGGACAAAGTTGTATATTTTATAGCAATTGCAAATTGGCCGATGATGTCATCAATACCTAAATAAACGATAGATAATTTCCATAGTTTAATACTACAATTACTGTAACTAAAACTGGTTTGTTGTTGAATTAAATTTAAAAAGAACCAATGCTGGTTGTTATGCTTTTATTTTTTCTTACTTCCATATCATATAATTGAACGTTGTTTCTACTTGGATTCATTATGTATAACTTTAATTGGGATTTAATATCAAGAGAATATTACCTGTTTTTCATTATTGTATAGGATGTTTGAAGCACTTAAGTTTACGAGTAACGTGAACTTGGTTGCTTTAAGGCAATCGGTTTGCATGGTTTAATCAAGTAAATTACTTTTCTGTTCAAGTAGATAATACTGATATATTTCTAGTTGCAGAACATGTAACATTAGTTAGCCCAACTTAAATAACTGTGCTGTTTGTAATGCACACAAAGTATACTTCACTTGAAATAATTAAGTTGTTTGAAATGGTCATTTGAAGTAATGAAAACTGAGTATTTCTTAGTTACTTCAACTAAAGTGTAACTATACTACACTAAATAAGCTCGTTAGTACAACATATAATACATTATTAACTTTACTTGAATGTAAAAAGTTCCTTTACTTGCTTTTTTTAAGGCAATTGGGTTGCATGCTTTTTTTAAGTAAGGTTTACTAATTGGATTTTACAGTGTACTAATAGTAACAATCATACAAAAGAAATGTAGCAGTGGTCACCGTAGTAGCAAGAGTAGATCCTACATAAACAGTATATTTATACAATACCAGTCAAAGTTTTGGACAAATGTTCCCATTTAATTTATTACATTACAGGGTAAAAAAGCTGTGGGGTGTGCTGCAGGGTAAAAAGCTGTGGGTTAATAGCTGACGCTTTTAACCCACAGCTTTTTACTGAACATAATAACGTAGTTTCATTTCACAACATTAACCACATGTTTACAACCGTTTTCTCAAGAAAATATTACTTTTATAATCATCAGTTTGAGAAGAAGAAGAAAAAGGGGCTCCAACCAATAGAACACGGAGCAGAATGTACAACATTCTATGACATCACAGAGAATTCTCCATACAGAATGTAGAATGTGGAAGGATAGATTATCAGAGCTCATTTTGGATCCCCACTCAGCGTGAACACATCAACTTTACATTGCAGAGGGATTCTCAAAGACTCAAAGATGGCCCGCCAGCCGCCGAAAGGACTGAAAAGCTTGGTCGAGTGTATGGCCAGAGCTACAATCTCCGCACATCCTGCCGACATGCCAGACTTTTTAGTGGAGTATACGTCAGAGCTCAACCAAACAAGAGGCTCTAAAACTGAAAGCAATCCAGTGGAAATGTGCTTTCGATTCCAAGAGGCTCGTGGTAAGATACTGTCTAAATATATAAAACATGATGTTTGGGTAATCATATGTTTTGTTTATAGAATGTGAAAAGTTCAGAAAGTGAGGAACATAAAGTGAAAATAAACCTTGGTTTAAAGGTCATTCTTAAAAATGTGATGCTATTCTTAATTGCTCCGATAGTGCTTGGTATCTAAGTACTAACATGTAGTAAGGGTCGTCGTGGTGCAGGGGTTAGAGAAGGTGTGCTGGGAAGCACAAGGTTAGTAGTTTGAGTCCAGGCTGCCCCATGTTCCATGATGAAGTGTCCCTGAGCAAGACACCTAACCCCAAATTACTCCCTGGGCAAAAATGTGAAAAAGCCATTGTGAAAAGCGACTTACATTACACTTTGGATAAAAGCGTCTGCTAAATGACCTGTAATGTTGTAGTTAGGGGCTTGGAGGTGGAAAATTGTTATTGCTAAATATTGTGCACTAATTTTATTTTTCTAAAATGTTTTTCTCTTCCCAGATTCGGAATCTGCAATCAATGAACATGCACCATCAACTGGGGTTAAAGAAAAGAAGCCTGTACCTTTTACCCCTGCTGTTGCCAAGAAGACACCGGAAACACACACACAGAAAACAACACCACGAAAGTCATCACCTAAAGCTCCAGCAGATGTGCCCCCGAAATCCAGGAAGAATCTACCAATCGGCACGAGGGGGAAGCCACAAAATGCCAGCAGCGTGTTACCACAAAAACCTAAAGAACGCAGTGAACCAACGTCAGCAAGAACAGAAAGACCAAAGGAAGAAAGAAAAATAATCCCCAAGACAAGACCACCATGGTTACCACCAGCTGCAAATCAAAAGCAAGGTAAAGGAACCATTGATGACGCCAAGAAGACACCAGAAAAACGTCTACCGACAATTCCCCAAAAGTCAGCACCTAAAGATCCAGCTGTCAATCCCCCGAAATCCAAGAAAAATCTACCAATCGGCACGAGGGGGAAGCCAGAAAATGCCAGCAGCGTGTCACCCCAAAAACCTAAAGAACGCAGTGAACCAACGCCAGCAAGAACAGAAAAACCAAAGGAAGAAAGAAAAATAATACCCAAGACAAGACCACCATGTTTGTTACCAGCTACAAGTCAAAAGCAAAGTAAAGGAACCATTCATGACGCCAAGAAGACACCAGAAAAACGTCTACCGACAATTCCCCAAAAGTCAGCACCTAAAGATCCAGCTGTCAATCCCCCTTCTAGACGCCCAACTACGCGTGTACAAGCAGCACCACAAACAAGTGTTTTACCACCGATTCCACCAATTCCACAGAAGAAAGGCACAGGTAGCCAACAGCAGACAACTATTCCAAAGAAATCTGTGCCAAAGTGGGATGACTCAGCAACATTGCCCGTTATTAAAGGATTGAGGAAACCAGCTATTCCAAGAGACAGCAGAAACGACCACCAATGCCCTCAATTGGTTCACCAACGCCCTCAGTTGGTGCAAATAATCCACAGGGCAAAAATCACACACACAGTGTTTCGTTACTCACCTTAAGGATAAGGTAGGTGTCACAAAATAGTAGTCACATTCTCTGGGTTTTGTGTGGCTTCTCGACCATTTCATATTTGTTTGAATGCCGTTTAAGCATTCCAGTAAATGTTAAACCGTTGTATTGTTCTTCTAAGCGGTATTTTTCTCTTCTTTCTATTTCCGTGCATATTTTGAGCTGCTTCTCCTCCTTCAAATCTTCAGCTATTACAACTGTTACTCTTTAACTACAAAAATAAAATTCAGCTTTTGGACTTTTTCCAATATCACAGATTAGTTTTTTCAGTTTCTGAGATTGACATGAGTGTGTATGGCACCAGTTAAAGTGGAGATGGAGAGCTAAAGGAGAGAGCAGCATCAGAATCTGGTTCAAAAAATATTTGTAGTTGGTCCTCATTACACAATATTCACTCTTCATGCTTCATTTTGGGAGACAATGAAAGGGTGACGTTCCCGTGGCAACTCAGACACAGGCTGAAGTAACGCTGTCTTTTTCTCACACAGGTGAACAGCGTTGGACGACCAGTGGAGCCACCTGACGCAGCCGTGCAGTAGACGAACCGACACGTGAAAGGACATCGCTCCCTCTCCCTTTCTTACTCCCTCCCCACATCGACCCGCGTTTCTAATTCAGTGAGTGTGTCCAAACCTTTGACTGCATATTTATGCATATATCAAGATATATGGCTAGGACGTTATTTCATTATGTTAACCCAAACCATAATGTTTTCCTGAACGCAATCAGGTAGTTCTGTTGTCTGAACATAATAACGTAGTTTCATGTCACAACATTAACCACATGTTTACAACTGTTTTCTCAAGAAAATATTACTTTTATAATCATCAGTTTGAGAAGAAGAAGAAAAAAGGGCTCCAACCAATAGAACCCAGTCCAGAATCCGGAGTCCACAATCCAGTGGAAATGTGCTTTCAATACCAAGAGACACGTGGTAAGATATTGTCTAAATATATAAAAGATGATGTTTAGGTAATCATTTGTTTTGTTACAAAATTTCAGAAACTGAGGAAGATAAAAATGAAAATAAACCTTTGTTTAAAGGTCATTCTTAAAAATATGATGCTATTCTTAATTGCTCCGATGGTGCTGGTGTGGCACCCTGGACATTTTTAAGGACTTCCATTGTTTCTTTGAATTGTATTGTTTAGTGCCATTCCCCTGTTATTGTGTTTGTTTTGATTATTGTGTAAAGAAATCCTTCGTGTGACTTTTTGAGCCTGCCTCCTTCCCCCTGCAGTGGCAGTGGGGCAGCACTCGTTTCCGCCAGCAGGTGGCGGTAGCGGGTTTAGTAGACCTGACGGGCGCTGTAACACTTGCTTAGAGCAAGTGACTCCGCGTCGGCAAGTACAGACAGTCGTTCTGATTCTGATTGTTGCTGATTGTCTGTTGTTATTGCAGAATAAAACACACCTGAACGGAGCCTGTTGCAGTGTGTGTGTGTGTGTGTGTGTGTGTGTGTGTGTGTGTGAAAAATGTTTTTCTCAAACAAAATGTTTTTCTCTTCCCAGATTTGGAATCTGCAATCAATGAACATGCACCATCAACTGGGGTTAAAGAAAAGAAGCCTGTACCTCTTACCCCTGCTGTTGCCGACAAGACACCGGAAACACACACACAGAAAACATCCCGAAAGTTATCACCTAAAGCTCCAGCAGATGTGCCCCCGAAATCCAGGAAGAATCTACCAATCGGCACGAGGGGGAAGCCACAAAATGCCAGCAGCGTGTTACCACAAAAACCTAAAGAATGCAGTGCACCAAGACCAGGAAGAAGCCAAAGACCAAAGAAAGAAAGAAAAATAATACCCAAGACAAGACCACCATGTTACCACCAGCTACAAGTCAAAAGCAAGGTAAAGGAACCATTGATGACGCCAAGAAGACACCAGAAAAGCGTCTACCGACAATTCCCCAAACGTCAGCACCTAAAGATCAAGCTGTCAATCCCCCTTCTAGACGCCCAACTACGCGTGTACAAGCAGCACCACAAACGAGTGTTTTACCACCGATTCCACCAATTCCACAGAAGAAAGGCACAGGTAGCCAACAGCAGACAACTATTCCAAAGAAATCTGTGCCAAAGTGGGATGACTCAGTAACATTGCCCGTTATTAAAGGATTGAGGAAACCAGCTATTCCAAGAGACTGCAGAAACGACCACACGTGTTGCTTTCCTCACCTTAAGGATAAGGTAGGTGTCACAAAATAGTCACATTCTTTGGGTTTTGTGTGGCTTCTTAAACGATTTCATATTTGTTTGAATGCTGTTTAAGCATTCCAGTAAATGTTAAACCGTTGTATTGTTCTTCTAAGCTGTAGTTTTCTCTTCTTTCTATTTCCGTTTTGAGCTGCTTCACCCTCTCATCCCTCCCCCCCCACTCCCCTTCACACAGGTGAACAGCGTTGGACGATCAGTGGAGCCCCCTCCATATAATGTTGTTTGTTTGTTTGTTAGATAAATAAATAAAAAATACAAAAATCTTTCTGTCCCTTCCCCTCTCTCTCTCTCTCTCGAAGGACAAACATTCAGTCTCCAATTCATAATTAAAGAAAAACCCTCTGATTATCTGTGCCTCAACCATGAAGGCCAGAATTAAGCTGTTTTAAAAAAATCTGTATTGCTCTTTCAAAAACTAGAGCCTCTTACTATAATGACTAGTACCTCCAGTGGTAGTATTACCACAATTGATACTGCTACATGACGTATTTTGACATAGGATATTGATTCTTTTCAACAACAACAAAAAGTGAAATGCAATTAGAAGCTGTGGGTGAATAGGACTTATAGGAAAACTCATGAAAAGTCATCCTATTGTACGTTAAAAATTGTTAAATATGTTTACAAATGTAATAAAAGAAGCAACAATGTTACGTTATAGGGCAATACTGCTGGAAACAAATCATAAAAATGAAGTGTCGAATGCCAAAAAAAGTCCAATGAAAATTGCACATTTCACTGTGTTGCATCCGCCCGCAGAGAGGCCGCCAGCTGATGCGGGTTGTGTGTGTAAAAAATTAACTTGGCTAACCCCGACTGAAGGGAACAGGCAATAAAAAAAACACACACACACTCCACCTGACAATTTGGGGAAAGCAGCTCTGTGCCTCTCTTGCTGCTCATTAAGAAAATACCAACCTGACTGAGGATAGCAGCCTTTTTGTGCGGGACAATGACCAATAATAATCCACTGTGTACGACGCTAACAATTAAATTTCTAGGGTAATAAAACAACAGCTGTGCATGAAGGAGCATCCGCTATCTCGTTTATTAATAGAACATTCAGCTTGTTGTCTCTATCGCTCCCTTCCTGTCCTCCACTGCTTGGCGTCTCTTCCTCCCTCACTTCCTGATGTAGAAGTTGGAAACCTGAATCATGTTACCCTGCTTGTTTCTGTCGGGGCAGAGAAACCAGTCCATCAGTGCAACAGCTCGGCGTTTCACAAGAGTGACAATTATGAGCTCACAGCATCATCTGAGGCCAAGAGATCTGGCTTCGCTTGTCTGTGTGTATAACCAACACTTACAGACCACAGCAATCACTGCAGAGGACGCATTGATGCATGCTTAATGCCAAAAGTCGTTTTGAGTGCATTTCCTGCATTTCTATATGAGTGTGTCGCTTGTTAAACACACTGGAGTTTTAAGTTTCTACTTTTCAGCAACAAAAAGGGGGTCGAATCATCTGTGCTCATATTACAATTATCATTATCAAAGTCTTGGTGACTTGTTAGCCATCTCGAGTGATCAAAACAATCTGGAAAAATTCTGCTTGCTTGTGCATAACAGTTTTTGAGGTCACGTGAGTCTAATCCATCATATGACTGATCACCTGTATAGACGGAAAGTTAACCCACAGATAACTGATTCAAATGAGCGCTTCGAGAAAAGACAAGTCAATAACATCTGTGTTGGAGACTCATTATTGCACGTAGATGCAGTGAGCTAGGCTTCATTTCTAGAAGCATATTGACACATGCACACCAACACACATCCACGCAGCACCTACACTTGGGCCTGCAGGCTGCCAAGGAAGTTATTGATGTGATCCTGTGGCATGCCCCCCTCCAGGTGAGCCAGGTAGGTGTAGAGTTTGACAAAAATGTCAAACGGGATCCTGGCAGGACCGCCCTCCTCGTCCTCCGTCAGCAGCTCGCAAGCAACCTTGAGGGAACTTATGAGCGTCTGAGAAGGTGTATGCAGGAACGCGAGAGAAGAAGACGAGAGGACTTTTTCAGAAGAAATACAGATGCAATATAACAATGCAATGCGTCAGCATTCAAGGCACGTTTGATCATGACAACAACACACTGTAAATACACTTAACTCGAACTTATATGCATGCACAGCAACCCGTGACAGACCAAATCAAGGTAGAACATGACTGCCCTCATGTGCTTAAAGTGTTTAACAGCCTCACTGAGCACATTGTGTTGTCAATGCTGAGCTGCAAAGCTGTCATCCACAGAGTTCTCCGTGCGTGAGGGAAATTCTCTTTGGTCTCTCTCTTTTGAAACAAAATCATTAGCTTAAAAGCATTCAAGTAGTCAGAGAATGATTGATCTCCGGGGTCCAGGGACCTTGACGGACCTTGAAGTCTTCTGATCACTGATGTCTGGATCTAGTTTAAACACGAGAAGACTGGACTGTGTGGTGATCCTAAAAAGTATTTTTTAGGATCTCCAGCTGTGCGTGGCCTCAAAAAGGTATAAAGTGGTGTTAGCATTTATGTATCTGGCCTTATATAACGTCTTACCTCTCCCAGAGAACTGCAGCCCAGGGCAAAAAACTCCATCCAATCGATGTCTGAGCCAAAACTGCCCAGCGACAGCAGGGTCTCCAGCTGATCCGTGGGTAGACACAGACCCCTCCACTTCTCCCGCAGTTCCTCCTCGCTGCACGTCTCCCTGATGGATAGCTGAGATCGGGTTGAGGGATCTGCAGGTGCGGGAGTAGATGAAAGGAAGGAGAGGAAGAAAAAAAAAAAGGTTATCTAGTTTAACAGATGAGTGCATTAACGAACGGAGGATCAGCGAGCTGTTTATCGACTGACTTTCATGTTTGTAATTAACACACAGCACTGGTCTAAGGACATACGAGGGGTCGGTCACCGCTCTGAGCTGGTAGATTGAAAAGATGAATGTCTGGGTGTCACCATCATGTCTGCAAACAATATTGTTTTGAATTCATTGTTGATTCGTGGGCATGACGTGAGCAAACATTTTGAAATGTGCTTTTACAATAACACTAAACTTTAATGAGTCACATGGGGGGGACATCATTGCAATATGCAGATGCAGCTAAAACAAAAGAAGATATGAAAGAGTAAGCAAAATGGGGGTATCAGCATAGTAGCAACTGATAATCAATAGGTATAAAGGTCAAAAAACAGGTTTAATGTGCGAGAGGTTTGATGTGATTGGTTATTTAAGGTGTGGTCCCTTTGTAAGGACAGCACCTGTTTATGGAGAGTCTTTAGCAGACCAGGAGTCATCGCGCTGTCCATCTTATTTGTGACATTCAGCTCCAGCCGATCCTTCACAGGCAGACGCTCTCCTTTAGACAGCGCAGTAAAGTATCTGCGAGCGGACACACACACACATTTGTACTATTAAAAACACGGTGCTTGGCTTTATGCTTTTCAAGGCAATAAGTGATGCAGTCAAATGATGCATGGATTGACATTAGAATAAATTGTCATGAGGGTTAATCAGTTGAAAAACCATCATGTGTTGCAGTTTAGAAGGAAGTTTACTGATCTTCCAATTGTGCCGAAGGGCTCACTGGATAATTTTATCTCAGAGTTTAAATTATTCAAAAACTAGCTCTCGCAATGAGTTTAGAGGCAGCATGACTTTCATCGTCTTTGAAAAGCTACAGAGCCTGGTGTTATTTTAATGGCGTATAAACTTCTTGCAACCCAGGAGAATGTGATTTGTTTTTGGTTCACCAGATGGCTCGTGTACTGTCCTTTTGCTGTAAACACTGAAGCTACATTGGCAAATAAAAGAACAGCTGAAATGACTTTCCTTAGGGGTAGAAAATTCCAATGTGCTCCCCCCTCACACTTAAAGCTCGGTCAATGCAAAAATGGCTACAACAGAGGCTACTTCCTCTGCATGCAGGAAGTCATGGTGTTGCTTGAGAGATCAAGACCGAACGTATTGAACGTAATCACATGTATCCCTTCCTGTATCCAAACGACCACTGACAAGAGATTGAATCTTACGCCGCAGACCACAGCAGCAGGTCCTCGGGCTGCGTACGGACGGCTGCCTTGGTGAAGTTTTTCAGGATGTCTGGCAGCTCTTGGGCGATGTCAATTTGCTGGGCACAGAACATTGTGTCTGGAAGAGGCATGGCTGCAATATAAAACATTGCAACATTGTCCAGTTAGCAGGTAGGAGCTTTATCCGAGAGGACATCCATGAGACATAATCTGAAATAAAGTGGCAGCTCGCAACCAGAATATTAATTTAAGGATGGAATAGTGGTTCTTCTCGGGGATCCAAAGTTGCTGTTTCAATACGTTTGAGAGGAATACGAAGTAAAGACCATGGGAGCTACATTAAAAAAAAAAGATAACATCTCCATAGATTCATTTCCTCATCGTGAGCAATAAGATGAAATCCGAATTGAAAACTAGGTTTTAAAATGAACCAGACATCAATTTAAGAGCGTTTAGGTGAATGAGATGTAAGACTGCAAGGTAACGGTAGTAAAAAGCCGAACATGTTATCAACGTCATTTCCCGGAAGTTATACGTTACAGTAACGTTAAGCTAACAGCAGCTAAAACCGACGTGGTTAACGGTAAGTTTACCGCAAAAACACGAGCCTTAAATTAACGTTAGCATTAGCTCCCGTAGCGCCGGTTAGGACACGTAGTAGAAACGGGTAACTGAAGTTAATTACAGAATTTATACGTTGACCATGTATTCACACTTCTTGTTTTATGGTCCTGATGTCCAACATTGTCATAAAACCTCATGTTGAATAAACGTCCACACATCAACCAATTTACCGTTCCCTGGATTGCTGAATAATGACGTTTAGAAAAAGGAGATAAACTACAACGCGAGAGGCAGCCTGTGTATCGCTTGCAGCCCCGTTGCATAGCAACGGTCTTCTTCTCTGGTTTTCGAGGGGTAGATGTCATGCCACGTGAAGTGCGACATTGCCCCCCTCCTGTTGGGAGACGTCAACTGATTAACCTTAACATCGGCTTGCCTTTGTGAATTCTAATCCGACCGATTGTGTAAACTTACTGGAATGAACGATGCAACATGAGGCCGTGAGTAAAAAAAAAAAAAAGCCTTTTCATTAATTTACTTGTTTGGGAAATGTCAAGCCAAAAGGTAAGGGATATATGCCGTGGAAATGTTATTAAAAGTACCATAAAAGTGGAAAACACTGACATTTGGACAAGAACTTGACAGACACCATTCTGTGTAAACACACACATTTATTGAAGTGTTGCCGTAAACAGGCAAAACATCCTAATGAAGATTTTATTAATAAACAGCTTCTTGAAAATACAAGTTTACAGACAGTGATTCGGAAATAATTGTACATCTACCAGTATTTGGTAACTGAACACACAAAAAATAAGCAAAATATCCCCACCATCTTTGACGTTCAAAAGAAGTCAGCAATTATGAAAGACGACAGGAGACAAATTCGTACTTGTGCAATGAGCACACATGCACTGCCAGGTCACATACAACGACATGTGCAGACCTCTTCTAGCACACTAATAGGGTTGAGCAGCTAGAATCTTCTGGTAAAACCCTTTCCAGGTTCAACCAACTTTTTATGTAATGGGAGCCATGTAATACAAACAGCACAGAGTTTCCTCTCCCATGTTTTTACATTATGGCCAACTGAATGGGTCTAAAACGCCACCACGAAACAATGATGGAGGGATGGACTTGAGCAAAACAACACAGGTCACGTGGACTTGATTATGGACTGTCCCAAGGTGCTGCTTTTACCCCTCCCGTATGTTCTCTTACTCCAGTTAATACAAAAATAAAACTGTGCTTCCCCCAAACCCCCCTGGATGAAACCAAATGCACGCTGGACCGCAGAGCACAAAAACATATCCGGCTCGACAAAAGCACTTCATCGCAGAGAGCTGAACTATCTGTCATTGAGCCAGCTGTGTTCACGGCTGGGATTCCCCAAAAGCGTCGCAGCGCTAAACATTATAGATTTAACGCAAACGGGGAAAAATAACATTTAAAATGATGCAAACGGCATTTCAATACACTCCACTGTCGATCACATCCATCCGGAGGTTGTAGATTGACGAGAGAGAAGCAATACAATTGAACGATCTAATCTAGTAGGACGTGAACTTGGACAATAAAGTACATACGACTGACCGATAACGCTTGTTATTGTTCCGAGCTGCTGCTGCTACCGAAACCTAGAAAAAAGGGAGGAAAACACAAGAAATTTTAGAACTATTGATTGAAATATAGGCAGTCCTTTTAATGCACATACTTCAGCTTTGGCCAAGTTGTGTCCACGTGGGGTAACAACCCGTATCCCAAAACCTGTTGGCCAAACTGCCAACTGATATAAAAGGATCACACTGTTGACAAAGCCTCCTTATTACACAGTATATGTGTACACTGCTGAAGAGTAGTGTTCGGATTTAGGTGAAGGAAGCAGACAAGGAGAGGTTAGTGGTTGGATATGTGGACAAAAGTTTATTGGCTGGCGAGGATCCTGGCAACGGGGAGGACGAAGAGCCGGGCGGTGATGCACACGCGCGTTCGTAGTTGACGGAATAATCTGGCGTCGACGTGATGAGACGCCCAGGTTTATATGGAGGAGGATGATTGGATGCAGGTGTGTCTCGTCCAGTTGCCGCCAACAGCCAGCCACACCCCCTGCCGCACACAACACAGGAGAACACAGCCAAAACCCAACCAAACAGAAACACAATCACCACAGTACCCCCCCCTCAAGGGACGCCACCTGGCAGCCGACCCGGCTTGCCTGGGAACTGTTCATAAAAGTCATCCAAAATAGACGGGTCAAGGATGAGGGAACGAGAAATCCACTGTCTCCCCTCTGGACCGTAACCCTCCCAGTCCACGAGGTACTGGTAGCCTCGACCACGCCGGCGTACGTCCAAAACCTTATTTACTGTGTACGCCTGTGTACTCTTGATCAATGTCAAGAGTGGGTGGGGGGGGGGGGGGGACTGGTGGACACTGGTTTGAGGAGACAGACATGAAAAGTTGGGTGACCGGGGGAGTCTTATAGCCGCAGGGTTAATGATCCGGTCAACCTCGAATGACCCAATATACCTCGGAGTCAGTTTACGGGACTCAGTCTGGAGGGGCAGATCACGGGATGATAGCCAGACCATCTGTCCCGGCTGGTAGTCCGGGGCCGGTGCCGATCAGCCACTCGCTGATTGCGGGCCACAATGCGGACGAGGGCTCCTCGGGCCTCGCGCCAGACCCGACGAACGCGCCGGAGGTGTTCCACCACGGATGGCACTGCCAGGTCAGTCTCCTGAGAAGGGAACAGAGGAGGCTGGAAACCATTAGCTGCCATGAAAGGGGACATACCTGTGGCGGAGCAGACCAGGGAGTTGTGAGCATATTCAATCCAGGGGAGGTGTGTGGCCCAAGAAGCAGGATGTCGAGCAGTGACAACGCAGGGCCGCCCCCAGATCCTGGTTTGCTCGTTCCGTCTGGCCATTGGACTGAGGATGGTAACCCGAGGCGGAAGACATGGGTAATCAGCAGGTTGGCAGTCTCCAGTGCGGAAGTTAGCTTTGAAAGGGGGACGAAGTGGACTGCCTTGGAGAACCGGTCAACCACGGTCAGTATAACGGTGTTGCCTTCCGAGGGGGGTAAGCCAGTGATGAAGTCGACTGCCACATGCGACCACGGGCGGTGAGGGATGGGAAGGGGGTGCAGCAATCCGGCGGGGGCCTGGTGTGAGGCCTTACTCTGGGCGCAGATGGAACAGGCAGCGACGAATCCCCTGGTATCCGTTGTCATGGAAGGCCACCAGAACCATTGTAGGAGAGCCAGTGTTCTACGAAAACCAGGATGGCAGGCAATCCGGGAGGCGTGTCCCCATTGCAGGACAGGAGACCTCACCACCTCTGGGACAAACAACCTGCCCGGAGGACAACCCTGTGGAACCGGCTGGTCCCCCTGGGCCCCCTGGACCACACCCTCGATCTCCCACCCGGCTGCTCCAACCACACAGGCCGACGGCAGGATGGTGCTTCCAGCGGTGTCCTCAACCGGGGGAGCAAACTGACGTGACAGTGCGTCCGGTTTGATGTTCTTGGATCCTGGAGGATAGGTGAGGGTGAATTGAAACCGCCCCAGGAACAAAGCCCATCGGGCCTGGCGTGAGTTGAGCCTCCGAGCCGATCTGAGGTAGGAGAGGTTCTTGTGATCCGATCACACAATGAAAGGGTGAGTGGATCCCTCCAGCCAGTGCCTCCACTCCTGCAGAGCTAGGACGACCGCCAGTAGCTCCCACGTCATAGTTCCTCTCTGCTGGGGAGAGCTGGCGGGAGAAAAAGGCACAAGGATACTGCTTCTGATCAGCCGAGGAGCGCTGTGAAAGTACAGCTCCCACCCCGGAGTCGGAAGCATCCACCTCCACAATAAACTGTAGCGTGGGGTCTGGGTGAATAGAAAGAAAATAACAATTTCAATCTAGCAAACGAGGCCTCGGCCACAGGGGACCACACAAATGGGACTTTAACAGAAGTCAATTGCGTAAGGGGTGTGGCAACTCTGCTATAGTCCCGGATGAACCTGCGGTAGAAATTGGCAAACCCGAGAAACCTCTGTAGCTTCCTTGATGTAGGAGCAGGCCAGTCGGCCACTGCCATACCCTTGGCAGGGTCGGTCTTGATTTGCCCCTTCTCCACAATGAAACCCAAAAAACTCACAGAAGTCACATGAAACTCACACTTCTCCGCCTTAACATATAAACAATTCTCCAGGAGCCTCTTCAGGACTAAACTAACATGTTGCACATGTTCCTGGAGATTGCGCAAGAAAATCAAAATATCGTCTAAATAAACAAACACAAAACAGTTCAACATGAATGAATTGTCCCGTAGCACGTCATTGATCAGGTTTTGGAAAACCGCAGGTCCATTTGTGAGACCAGAGGGCATCATCAAGTACTCGAAATGTCCCAGAGGTGTGTTAAACCCAGTCTTCCACTCGTCTCCTTTCTTGATCCTCACTAGGTGATAAGCGCTTCGGAGGTCCAACTTCGTAAAGATAGAGGCCTCATGAAGGGGTCCGAACGCTGAGTCTATAAGCGGGAGGGGGTATCTGTTCTTAACAGTAATGTCATTTAGGCCCCGAAAGTCAATACAAGGGCGCAGCGACTTGTCCTTTTCCACAAAAAAAACCCCTGCCCCTAGCGGAGAAGACGAAGGTCGAATTAGTCCAGTGGCCAAGGAGTCAGAAATATATGTCTCCATGGCCACTCTTTCTGGCTTAGATAAGTTATGAAGCTTACTGGAAGGATAAGGAGCAGTCATAAGGTCTGTGTGAGTGAGTGAGTGAGAGTGAGATCCTTACTAAACACCTCCCGGAGGTGGTGATAGACTGCGGGCACGGAGCTGACATCCACTGATTTGGGGGGTGGCGGTGTTGAAGACATGGTTGACGGGATGGCAGAATGTAAACAATGAGAATGGCAGAAAAGACTCCAGTTGAAAATGGAGACGGAGGGCCAGTCAATCTGAGGTTTATGCAACTTCAACCAAGGAAGCCCTAGCACTACAGGGGAAGCCGGAGAAGGAATTAAAAAAAAAGAAATAATCTCTCGGTTGTTACCGGATAGCATCAGGATCACGGGCGCCGTGCGGTGGGTGACCTGAGCTAACAGCCTGCCATCTAAAGCAAAAACCCTCTTAGGGTGAGAAAGCAGCTGGCAGGGGATACCTGCCTGAGAAGCAAAACTAGAGTCAATAAAATTGTCATCGGCCCCTGAGTCCACTAAAATGGACAGGGAACGAGAGGACTGATCCCAAGACACAGTCCCCTTAATTGTCAAACGGGAAGGAGACGAACAAACAAGACAGGCTTACCAACGCTCCTCCAGAAATTGGTGAGCCCCCCCGTTTGGCAGCAGCGGGCAGTGCATTTGCAGATGTCCATCCTGCCCGCAGCAAAGGCAGAGACCATGGCGCCGGCGACGTTGATGCTCCCGTGGAGTGAGTTTGGTCCTTCCAAGCTGCATGGGTTCATCGGGAACGGAGGGAGAAAACGCGGCCTGGGAAAACCTCCTGTCGGGACAAGGAGGAGGCACAAGCCCCCACTGGGGAGGATTCACGCTCTGAGTCACGGGAGGGGTGAGACTAACTCTCCCTAGTCTCTCCCTGCGGCGCTCGTGAAGACGAGAATCTAAACGAATAGCTAACAAAATTAACTCATCTAGAGAGGATGTCTCGTCCCGAGCAGCCAATTCGCACTGCATGAAAAGTGGGATTTTCGGCAGTATGCGGCACTGTAAATTGTCGTGGAATTTCAGGTTTGCGGCTGTTCACAGCATTTTGCGGGCAACGCCGAAAACTGCTGTAAATTGTCAGAAATTGATGTGGGCCTTCCTTGGCAGTTGTCCCCCCCATGACCCCCCTCCTAATTCTAGGGGAGGCTTTGACATGTAAATGAAAATGCTGTGAGCTATACAAATGCAAATCAGGGTCGCCGAGGGAGTTTTAGCCCAGGTGACTTTTTTTAAAAGGTAAGAAAATCTCTGGTACAAATAGATCAGGCTCAGTAGCTTAATTATAGACTCTTACATTTTAGCTTGAATTGATTTATTTAATTCAAATATGCTAGATTACTGTGTACGCCATTAGCAATGGCAAATGTTACGTAAAAAAGATACACAAAATAACTTCTTTAAAAAATGAGTTTTAATCAAGGTAAAATGAGCATTCCATGCAAACAACATTTGAATCAGCATGAGCGGTCTGCAGAGATCACAGTCTCCTAGAGCTCAACTACAGTGCATAGTGGCAGGACTACAGTGACCTTTTCTTTGGTCTTACTTAAATGCACAGAGGATGTATTAACCACACATCTTCTAGCAATGCGCTCAACTGGCAGAAATGATGCTGGGTACGACGTGTCTGTTCCCTGCAAGCCCCAAACTTCTATTGGCTTTCCATAAAAATGTCTGTCCGGGTGGGGATGAAGCCAGGAAACTTGTGCAAGAACATGTTTAAATGCCGTACCCTTTGACACAACATTAACAACTATGAACTGCTTTATAATGGCTGGTCGTAGTTCTGCTAGAGGGTCAAGGACGGGTTCCTCAAAACTGTTAGTGTTTCCACACCACTTAGCATGAACACATGCTGACCTTTATGCTCTGCATCTATCGATTGAGTAAGTTACATTCATATATGTTACCCGTTTACATGTCATGGCAAAACATTCAACCTCAGTGACACAAGGGTACATCTGATGATACATTGTCAACATTGCATGTCTGTCAGACTCAAGATTGTCTGGTGGAATGGAGAAAGAGGCACCACTGTACAGTTTTCTAGGGAAAGTCATTCTGCTGCCACCAAAACACTGCTTTACATAAAGCATATCAGCTGTTTCAAAGTCCCAACCATTTGTCTTCCTAAAATACTGGTCCTTCCGTATAACAATAACCTTGTATGTGATTGGAGGACCCTTAAGACTCCTCGTCCAATCACGTGTGAGGTCATAGGTATGACTCAGACAGCAGTACTTGCAGGACGAGCATACAGACACGTGTGTGTTACTATATTCAGAAGAACTGTATCTCCAGTTCCTTTGTTTGGTTTTTGCTGGTTCGTGAATAATGGCTGGACGACGTCTCGCGTTCAACTTGCCTTCAACTCCTCTCCGCGGTCACCAACTTTCGGCCAGTCCGCAGACAGACGAGAAGAAACTGCTGAATGCTCTCAGTGGATCGTCTCGTCAACTCCAACAACAAACTGCCGATATCAAAGAGCGGTTCGCTCCACTGGAGCGTTTGGGACTCGGGTTTCTGTCCATGGAGGAGAGGTTGGCGGCTCTGGAGGAACTGACTCAAAGAAGACGATACGGGCGCACAATCCCAAGATAGGGTAAGAATACGTTCGATGACTGCAAGCTAAGCTAAAAGTAGCGTAGCCTAAAACGAAAGCTAAGAGTAGCCTAGTAGCCTTACAAGTGAGCAGAAACAGCTTTATTAAAGTGTGTTTTCTTTGCCGTGTCGTTTACAGGAAGCGGTGCGCCGTCTTCACAACTCCGAGACGAATTACAGGCGCTACGAACCGGAGCAAGGGTCAGATTTAAAGAAGATGCTTTCATTCTGCGCTATAAGGAAATCTATACGTATAGATACCGATCATAACTGTACATTTTGTTTTCACAGACTAATCTCGCCTCATAATGAGGCGGTGACCTCGTATTTGCTCCGGGAAAAGTCCAGATTTAGACGACGTCATTGTGTGTAAGTGACACTTTTTCTCCTTCCTTGTTAAATGTTACTGTGATTTACGTTTGATTTTTTTTGTATTCATACCACACTCATTTAATTGTTTTCCAGCCGCCTGTAAGACATATTTTGAGACGGTGCGCAGGAGCTTCAGGTTCAGCCGGAACTCTCATTGCGGGCGGAAGCTGCGAAGAATTCAGCGCGGAGTCGAGCGAGAAGAAAGAGGGTCAGAGTTTATTTGCTGACTTTTTTTTCCAGGTGCATTGATAGAGTGTTGTGTCCGTACGCATCGCGCATATAGTTGTTGATTGTGTGTTAATAAAGCTCTTTCTTTGCATAAACATGTGGCAAATATTCATTTTCTCTATAAATTCATTGATGTCCTGGTTGGTATCCTAATAATAGTGTAGTAGCCTACATAGGATAACCATGAAATTAATATACAGCATAAAATGAATATATAAATATATATAAATAAAATGAGGCGGGTGACCAATAGCGACAGATCTGCCAACCAATCACGAGTGATTGAAAGTTGTGGTTTCATCCAATCATGAACAAGGAAACTCGATCCTGGTCTGCCCACGTGTGGTTTTGCTGCCAATCACGAGTGATTTTATTTGTTAGTAAGTTGTGGTTTCATCCAATAAGGAGTAAGGATATTCAAGCCCGCTCGGCTCGGTCACTCGCGGTTTCGCTGCATTCATATGCTAATTAGGGCCATTCGCACCTCCGCCAGCTCTCCACCTACGTCATGGTTCGTTTCCGACAATTTGTGGCACAGACAAACGCGACGTGCGCGGGTTGCAAATTGTCGGAAATTAGGGAGATTTCCGGGCGTTTACGGGGACGAAAATCTCACTTTTCATGCAGTGTCGTCCCTCAACTCCTCTCTCAATCCCCGGAGAAAAACCCCCTGCAACGCTTTTTCATCCCACCCGGCCTGAAGCGCTAGAATCCGGAAATTCACTGAGTGCTTAGCTACGGAGTCTCCTCCCTGCCGTAGCAACAGAAGCCGGCTGCTAGCCTCCTTGCTACGCAGCGGGTGGTCAAACACTTTAAGAAACTCCTCGGAGAAGGAGGAAAAGGAAAAACAAACCGGGGACTGGCTAAACGAGAGCGCTACAGCCCAAGCCGCGGCTTTCTCCGACAGGAGACTCATAACAAACGCTACCCGCGATTTGTCGGTAGCGTAAGTGAGGGGCTGTTGTTCAAAAACAAGATTAAATTGAAAAGGAAAACGAAGAAGAGCTCGGCGGAGCCGCTGGGGGTGGTGGAGCAAGATCCGGGACAGGAGCTGGAGCGGGAGACGAAGCAGTCAGCGTGGAGAGGTGAGTAGAAACTTGGTCTATTCGGCTGCCGATTTGCGCCACTGTGGAGGTAAGCCTGTTGAGCGTCTCATCACCTCGTTTAAGGCTGCCTCATGCTGCCCCACTCGACTCCCTTGGGAGGAAAGCGCCAGTCTGAATCTCTCCACGTCTGCGCGGTCCATGTTATGGCCACATTATTCTGTTAGGGTTTAGGTGAAGATTCGGACCCCAAAGCAGACAAGGAGAGGTTAGTGGCTGGATATGTGGACAAAAGTTTATTGGCTGGCGAGGATCCTGGCAACGGGGAGGACGAAGAGCCGGGCGGTGATGCACACGCGCGTTCGTAGTTGACGGAATAATCTGGCGTCGACGTGACGAGACGCCCAGGTTTATATGGAGGAGGATGATTGGATGCAGGTGTGTCTCGTCCAGTTGCCGCCAACAGCCAGCCACACCCCCTGCCGCACACAACACAGGAGAACACAGCCCAAACCCAACCAAACAGAAACACAATCACCACAAGTAGCTTGATACGGAAAGATTGTCCAACTGCTTCCGATGACACATGCTCAGAGAAACGTCTCATTTCAGGGGGGGGGGGGGGCACACTGTTATTGTAATAGGTTATTGTAATTGCTAAGGGGTGTGGGAGGGGGCATAAACATTATGTATGTACCTGCACTCAGACTGCCCCCTGTGGGCTTACTGGTGGAGAAGGCAAAAGAAGACCCCCCAGTCCCCACCCCACCAAATCCTGGCCCACCACCAAAACCTGTGGGAGAGAGTGACACGGACGTCAGTTGGGGCGATGCACACAGGCCACACCAGGCACGAGCAAACACATCCGTGCCGTTCCATGTCAAATCAGAGGTTTTTGCTTACATTTTAGATGGTACTTTAAAACTTAAAAAAGGGGGAGACAACAAACTGCAATCTGGGCAAAATTGGCATGTATTGAGCCCCTGAAATATTATTTGACATCCTTCAATTATTGTGTTTGTTTTGTTGTTGCCAGAATGTGACAACATCCAATACACGCTACCACCCATTTATTTTCAACACCATTTTAACTGACCTGATCAACTTTTATGACTGAAAAGGAGCTATTGCAATCCAATAACAATTAAGGGACAAGCATTATTCAATTATAATGGCAAATGGGTTCCATTTTTGACCACAGTGTGGTATTTTCCTTGACCACTGGCCAGTTGAGATAATGGAGATATAGATTAGGATTACTTGACTCAGTGAGAGAGTTGGACCTGTGTACATGAACAGTTACATCTCACGGGAAATTCATGCTGATTTCTTTTGTATAATCTACTGGGCTGGTAGAGATGCCACCGTATAGGGACTGAACAGAGATCTTTTTTTTACCAAAATGAGAAAATAATCACTTTAAAATAAGAGACAAGAACAGGCATTGGTTTAGTGTCCATTATTTACTTTGAAATGATCATTCCAAAATAATTTAATAAGACGACCATGTCACTACAATGATTTGTCATGTTGATATTGATCCCACCGTTGGCATCAGCTCCTTCGTTGGATGTGCTGTTTATTGTGGTTCACCTGTGAGTGAGGTGACCTTGTTCTTACAGTCCTATAAGGCTGCAGGGCTAAGAGGTTTACACCAGTAGGGTTAAGACTCCACCTCCTACATGCTGTTTCGATGCAACCCAAGGTGTCTTTTACATACATACATACATTGCCTTTACCATTCAAAGATAAACATAATACCGAGTCAAATGATAAGAGATTATCACAAATGTGTGACAGTTTTGTGGGATTTCTGCAGTTCCTAAAAGTTCTGCTTGCAGGCAACAGAGTCCTTTACAGATATGTTCCCCTTATTTCAGTAATTATAACATCAGTTTGCTGAGACCAGCTGCTGTGGAAAAACCAAGTGCATAACAGTCCCAGTGTGTGTGTGTGTACGCATTATTATTATACCTTCATCCACCCCCAGCTGAGGGCTCTGCTCTCCTGTGGCTCCTCCATCTCTATGGCATCGGCCTCCTGCTGTGCGGGTGACTGTCACTTCCAGAGATGTATATCTGGTCCAGCCACAGGCACAATCGCTTGAGGAGGTTGTGACGAAATAATACTTTTCAGTTCATATTTTGCTGAGTAAAAAAGGTTTCTGGTGAAGTTTGGGTTCATTTGAAATAGTCACCATTTTAGACGTGTTGAACTTGGTTTGTAACTCCTCACTTACTCACTCTAAAAAGTGACTAGGAATACAATAGTCTTCATCCTTCAACCAAAAACCTTCCTCATCCATAGCGAATACTCCTTGAGTAAAATGGGCAGACAGTTTGTTAGAAAAATCTCCCAGTAAACGGAAAACTAGAAATGAAGTTGAGTCTCTAGAATAATCACCCAACATTATAATGAACTAGGATTTATTTTAAGGATGTTGTGTTAGACCACATTTGTTGGTGGATTTGTGGACCTAAAAAATATATATATATATATACATATATAATTATTAATAATTTATTCAGTATTGAAGTTGTGTTGTGCAACAATATACTGTTTGTACAAAAGTAAATTGCACAATTTGCATAATTGTTAAACTGCTGTTTACCAAGACACCACTGATTCATTGGAGTCCATCAAATTGCAGAAATGTATCAGAATTCTAGATCCCTCAATATTGCAAAGTGTAATAGAAATACGCTGTTAACCACACGACAACAAAAAGAAAATGACTCTATATTTCCCCTGTTGCATCAATCTAATTCACGTTTTGTTTTTGCATCACATGATGTTAAGGGAGCTGTATTATGAATTCAAATAAACACCAGTGCTCACAGCACTTATTTGACACTCTACAAATATTCATCTCCAGCTAAATGGAAGGAAACTTGATTATTTAAGAAGGCTTGCAGTTGATGTAGGATGAGAACTCCAGCTCCTTGAGATCTTGCTCTGGTTTATTTTCGGTCGCAGGCCGGGGTCAGCGACACAGCTGATGGGATTTTTGTGGTTCATTCGAGTCCACTTCGTGGGACCAGATACCTCAGTCCTAAAAAAACGTTTGATATTTAATATCTTTAATCTCCCAAAAAAACTAAGATAAATTCGATCGACCAAAAAGTTGATTGATGATGTCTTCCATTTCTCTACATCTCTCTATGCTATTTGATCAAATATGTTTTTTTAAAGTTGGGCAGATGGCATTTGTACCGGCTTAACCCAAGCAAATCCTGTACCAGCGTACCGGTTGAAACAGTCTACCGCACAGCCCCAGCTACAACCAATAGAACTTGGAGCAGAACGCTGGGCCGCTGAACACAGAGAGCGAGACAAAGTCCTTCTCTCGGCCCGTAGAGACCAATGCAAAGCTGCTGACATAAATTGTCAGAGAAAGCAGAAGGTACAAGTTTTGGAAACTGGCAGAGACATATAAATCATAGAGGGAAGCTGCAACACCCCTTGTTTCAATAAAGCGACAACTTGATCATGCCACATCAGGGACAAAGTTTTATATTTTATAGCAATTGCAAATTGGCCGATGATGTCATCAATACCTAAATAAACGATAGATAATTTCCATAGTTTAATACTACAATTACTGTAACTAAAACTGGTTTGTTGTTGCATTCAATTTAAAAAGAACCAATGCTGGTTGTTATGCTTTTATTTTTTCTTACTTCCATATCATATAATTGAACGTTGTTTCTACTTGGATTTATTATGTATAACTTTAATTGGGATTTAATATCAAGAGAATATTACCTGTTTTTCATTATTGTATAGGATGTTTGAAGCACTTAAGTTTACGAGTAACGTGAACTTGGTTGCTTTAAGGCAATCGGTTTGCATGGTTTAATCAAGTAAATTACTTTTCTGTTCAAGTAGATAATACTGATATATTTCTAGTTGCAGAACATGTAACATTAGTTAGCCCAACTTAAATAACTGTGCTGTTTGTAATGCACACAAAGTATACTTCACTTGAAATAATTAAGTTGTTTGAAATGGTCATTTGAAGTAATGAAAACTGAGTATTTCTTAGTTACTTCAACTAAAGTGTAACTATACTACACTAAATAAGCTCGTTAGTACAACATATAATACATTATTAACTTTACTTGAATGTAAAAAGTTCCTTTACTTGCTTTTTTTAAGGCAATTGGGTTGCATGCTTTTTTTAAGTAAGGTTTACTAATTGGATTTTACAGTGTACTAATAGTAACAATCATACAAAAGAAATGTAGCAGTGGTCACCGTAGTAGCAAGAGTAGATCCTACATGAACAGTATATTTATACAATACCAGTCAAAGTTTTGGACAAATGTTCCCATTTAATTCATTACGTTACAGGGTAAAAAGCTGTGGGTTAATAGCTGACGCTTTTAACCCACAGCTTTTTACTGAACATAATAACGTAGTTTCATTTCACAACATTAACCACATGTTTACAACTGTTTTCTCAAGAAAATATTACTTTTATAATCATCAGTTTGAGAAGAAGAAGAAAAAGGGGCTCCAACCAATAGAACACGGAGCAGAATGTAGAACATTCTATGACATCACAGAGAATTCTCCATACAGAATGTAGAATGTGGAAGGATAGATTATCAGAGCTCATTTTGGATCCCCACTCAGCGTGAACATATCAACTTTACATTGCAGAGGGATTCTCAAAGACTCAAAGATGGCCCGCCAGCCGCCGAAAGGACTGAAAAGCTTGGTCGAGTGTATGGCCAGAGCTACAATCTCCGCACATCCTGCCGACATGCCAGACTTTTTAGTGGAGTATACGTCAGAGCTCAACCAAACAAGAGGCTCTAAAACTGAAAGCAATCCAGTGGAAATGTGCTTTCGATTCCAAGAGGCTCGTGGTAAGATACTGTCTAAATATATAAAACATGATGTTTGGGTAATCATATGTTTTGTTTATAGAATGTGAAAATTTCAGAAAGTGAGGAACATAAAGTGAAAATAAACCTTGGTTTAAAGGTCATTCTTAAAAATGTGATGCTATTCTTAATTGCTCCGATTGTGCTTGGTATCTAAGTACTAACATGTAGTAAGGGTCGTCGTGGTGCAGGGGTTAGAGAAGGTGTGCTGGGAAGCACAAGGTCAGTAGTTTGAGTCCAGGCTGCCCCATGTTCCATGATGAAGTGTCCCTGAGCAAGACACCTAACCCCAAATTACTCCCCGGGCAAAAATGTGAAAAAGCCATTGTTGAAAAGCGACTTACATTACACTTTGGATAAAAGCGTCTGCTAAATGACCTGTAATGTTGTAGTTAGGGGCTTGGAGCTGGAAAATTGTTATTGCTAAATCTTGTGTACTAATTTTATTTTTCTAAAATGTTTTTCTCTTCCCAGATTCGGAATCTGCAATCAATGAACATGCACCATCAACTGGGGTTAAAGAAAAGAAGCCTGTACCTTTTACCCCTGCTGTTGCCAAGAAGACACCGGAAACACACACACAGAAAACAACACCACGAAAGTTATCACTTAAAGCTCCAGCAGATGTGCCCCCGAAATCCAGGAAGAATCTACCAATCGGCACGAGGGGGAAGCCACAAAATGCCAGCAGCGTGTTACCACAAAAACCTAAAGAACGCAGTGAACCAACGTCAGCAAGAACAGAAAGACCAAAGGAAGAAAGAAAAATAATACCCAAGACAAGACCACCATGTTACCACCAGCTACAAGTCAAAAGCAAGGTAAAGGAACCATTGATGACGCCAAGAAGACACCAGAAAAGCGTCTACCGACAATTCCCCAAAAGTCAGCACCTAAAGATCCAGCTGTCAATCCCCCTTCTAGACGCCCAACTACGCGTGTACAAGCAGCACCACAAACGAGTGTTTTACCACCGATTCCACCAATTCCACAGAAGAAAGGCACAGGTAGCCAACAGCAGACAACTATTCCAAAGAAATCTGTGCCAAAGTGGGATGACTCAGTAACATTGCCCGTTATTAAAGGATTGAGGAAACCAGCTATTCCAAGAGACAGCAGAAACGACCACACGTGTTGCTTTCCTCACCTTAAGGATAAGGTAGGTGTCACAAAATAGTCACATTCTTTGGGTTTTGTGTGGCTTCTCAAACGATTTCATATTTGTTTGAATGCTGTTTAAGCATTCCAGTAAATGTTAAACCGTTGTATTGTTCTTCTAAGCTGTAGTTTTCTCTTCTTTCTATTTCCGTTTTGAGCTGCTTCACCCTCTCATCCCTCCCCCCCCACTCCCCTTCACACAGGTGAACAGCGTTGGACGATCAGTGGAGCCCCCTCCATATAATGTTGTTTGTTTGTTTGTTAGATAAATAAATAAAAAATACAAAAATCTTTCTGTCCCTTCCCCTCTCTCTCTCTCTCTCGAAGGACAAACATTCAGTCTCCAATTCATAATTAAAGAAAAACCCTCTGATTATCTGTGCCTCAACCATGAAGGCCAGAATTAAGCTGTTTTAAAAAAATCTGTATTGCTCTTTCAAAAACTAGAGCCTCTTACTATAATGACTAGTACCTCCAGTGGTAGTATTACCACAATTGATACTGCTACATGACGTATTTTGACATAGGATATTGATTCTTTTCAACAACAACAAAAAGTGAAATGCAATTAGAAGCTGTGGGTGAATAGAACTTATAGGAAAACTCATGAAAAGTCATCCTATTGTACGTTAAAAATTGTTAAATATGTTTACAAATGTAATAAAAGAAGCAACAATGTTACGTTATAGGGCAATACTGCTGGAAACAAATCATAAAAATGAAGTGTCGAATGCCAAAAAAAGTCCAATGAAAATTGCACATTTCACTGTGTTGCATCCGCCTGCAGAGAGGCCGCCAGCTGATGCGGGATGTGTGTGTGAAAAATTAACTTGGCTAACCCCGACTGAAGGGAACAGGCAATAAAAAAAACACACACACACTCCACCTGACAATTTGGGGAAAGCAGCTCTGTGCCTCTCTTGCTGCTCATTAAGAAAATACCAACCTGACTGAGGATAGCAGCCTTTTTGTGCAGGACAATGACCAATAATAATCCACTGTGTACGACGCTAACAATTAAATTTCTAGGGTAATAAAACAACAGCTGTGCATGAAGGAGCATCCGCTATCTCGTTTATTAATAGAACATTCAGCTTGTTGTCTCTATCGCTCCCTTCCTGTCCTCCACTGCTTGGCGTCTCTTCCTCCCTCACTTCCTGATGTAGAAGTTGGAAACCTGAATCATGTTACCCTGCTTGTTTCTGTCGGGGCAGAGAAACCAGTCCATCAGTGCAACAGCTCGGCGTTTCACAAGAGTGACAATTATGAGCTCACAGCATCATCTGAGGCCAAGAGATCTGGCTTCGCTTGTCTGTGTGTATAACCAACACTTACAGACCACAGCAATCACTGCAGAGGACGCATTGATGCATGCTTAATGCCAAAAGTCGTTTTGAGTGCATTTCCTGCATTTCTATATGAGTGTGTCGCTTGTTAAACACACTGGAGTTTTAAGTTTCTACTTTTCAGCAACAAAAAGGGGGTCGAATCATCTGTGCTCATATTACAATTATCATTATCAAAGTCTTGGTGACTTGTTAGCCATCTCGAGTGATCAAAACAATCTGGAAAAGTTCTGCTTGCTTGTGCATAACAGTTTTTGAGGTCACGTGAGTCTAATCCATCATATGACTGATCACCTGTATAGACGGAAAGTTAACCCACAGATAACTGATTCAAATGAGCGCTTTGAGAAAAGACAAGTCAATAACATCTCTGTTGGAGACTCATTATTGCACGTAGATGCAGTGAGCTAGGCTTTATTTCTAGAAGCATATTGACACATGCACACCAACACACATCCACGCAGCACCTACACTTGGGCCTTGAGCCAAGGAAGTTATCGATGTGATCCTGTGGCATGTCCCCCTCCAGGTGAGCCAGGTAGGTGTAGAGTTTGACAAAAATGTCGAACGGGATCCTGGCAGGACCGCCCTCCTCGTCCTCCGTCAGCAGCTCGCAAGCAACCTTGAGGGAACTTATGAGCGTCTGAGAAGGTGTATGCAGGAACGCGAGAGAAGAAGACGAGAGGAATTTTTTCAGAAGAAATACAGATGCAATATAACAATGCAATGCGTCAGCATTCAAGGCACGTTTGATCATGGCAACAACACACTGTAAATACACTTAACTCGAACTTATATGCATGCACAGCAACCCGTGACAGACCAAATCAAGGTAGAACATGACTGCCCTCATGTGCTTAAAGTGTTTAACAGCCTCACTGAGCACATTGTGTTGTCAATGCTGAGCTGCGAAGCTCTCATCCACAGAGTTCTCCGTGCGTGAGGGAAATTCTCTCTGGTCTCTCTCTTTTGAAACAAAATCATTAGCTTAAAAGCATTCAAGTAGTCAGAGAATGATTGATCTCCGGGGTCCAGGGACCTTGACGGACCTTGAAGTCTTCTGATCACTGATGTCTGGATCTAGTTTAAACACGAGAAGACTGGACTGTGTGGTGATCCTAAAAAGTATTTTTTAGGATCTCCAGCTGTGCGTGGCCTCAAAAAGGTATAAAGTGGTGTTAGCATTTATGTATCTGGCCTTATATAACGTCTTACCTCTCCCAGAGAACTGCAGCCCAGGGCAAAAAACTCCATCCAATCGATGTCTGAGCCAAAACTGCCCAGCGACAGCAGGGTCTCCAGCTGATCCGTAGGTAGACACAGACCCCTCCACTTCTCCCGCAGTTCCTCCTCGCTGCACGTCTCCCTGATGGATAGCTGAGATCGGGTTGAGGGATCGGCAGGTGCGGGGGTAGATGAAGGGAAGGAGAGGAAGAAAAAAAAAAAGGTTATCTAGTTTAACAGATGAGTGCATTAACGAACGGAGGATCAGCGAGCTGTTTATCGACTGACTTTCATGTTTGTAATTAACACACAGCACTGATTTAAGGACATACGAGGGGTCGGTCACCGCTCTGAGCTGGTAGATTGAAAAGATGAATGTCTGGGTGTCACCATCATGTCTGACAATATTGTTTTGAATTCATTGTTGATTTGTGGGCATGACGTGAGCAAACATTTTGAAATGTACTTTTACAATAACACTAAACTTTAATGAGTCACATGGGACATCATTGCAATATGCAGATGCAGCTAAAACAAAAGAAGCAAAATGGGGGTATCAGCATAGTAGCAACTGATAATCAATAGGTATAAAGGTCAAAAAACAGGTTTAATGTGCGAGAGGTTTGATGTGATTGGTTATTTAAGGTGTGGTCCCTTTGTAAGGACAGCACCTGTTTATGGAGAGTCTTTAGCAGACCAGGAGTCATCGCGCTGTCCGTCTTATGTGTGACATTCAGCTCCAGCCGATCCTTCACAGGCAGACGCTCTCCTTTAGACAGCGCAGTAAAGTATCTGCGAGCGGACACACACACACGCACACATTTGTACTATTAAAAACACGGTGCTTGGCTTTATGCTTTTCAAGGCAATAAGTGATGCAGTCAAATGATGCATGGATTGACATTAGAATAAATTGTCATGAGGGTTAATCAGTTGAAAAACCATCATGTGTTGCAGTTTAGAAGGAAGTTTACTGATCTTCCAATTGTGCCGAAGGGCTCACTGGATAATTTTATCTCAGAGTTTAAATTATTCAAAAACTAGCTCTCGCAATGAGTTTAGAGGCAGCATGACTTTCATCATCTTTGAAAAGCTACAGAGCCTGGTGTTATTTTAATGGCGTATAAACTTCTTGCAACCCTGGAGAATGTGATTTGTTTTTGGTTCACCAGATGGCTCGTGTACTGTCCTTTTGCTGTAAACACTGAAGCTACATTGGCAAATAAAAGAACAGCTGAAATGACTTTCCTTAGGGGTAGAAAATGTGCCCCCCTCACACTTAAAGCTCGGTCAATGCAAAAATGGCTACAACAGAGGCTACTTCCTCTGCATGCAGGAAGTCATGGTGTTGCTTGAGAGATCAAGACCGAACGTATTGAACGTAATCACATGTATCCCTTCCTGTATCCAAACGACCACTGACAAGAGATTGAATCTTACGCCGCAGACCACAGCAGCAGGTCCTCGGGCTGCGTACGGACGGCTGCCTTGGTGAAGTTTTTCAGGATGTCTGGCAGCTCTTGGGCGATGTCAATTTGCTGGGCACAGAACATTGTGTCTGGAAGAGGCATGGCTGCAATATAAAACATTGCAACATTGTCCAGTTAGCAGGTAGGAGCTTTATCCGAGAGGACATCCATGAGACATAATCTGAAATAAAGTGGCAGCTCGCAACCAGAATATTAACTTAAGGATGGAATAGTGGTTCTTCTCGGGGATCTAAAGTTGCTGTTTCAATACGTTTGAGAGGAATACGAAGTAAAGGCCATGGGAGCTACATTAAAAAAAAAAGATAACATCTCCATAGATTCATTTCCTCATCGTGAGCAATAAGATAAAATCCGAATTGAAAACTAGGTTTTAAAATGAACCAGACATCAATTTAAGAGCGTTTAGGTGAATGAGATGTAAGACTGCAAGGTAACGGTAGTAAAAAGCCGAACATGTTATCAACGTCATTTCCCGGAAGTTATACGTTACAGTAACGTTAAGCTAACAGCAGCTAAAACCGACGTGGTTAACGGTAAGTTTACCGCAAAAACACGAGCCTTAAATTAACGTTAGCATTAGCTCCCGTAGCGCAGGTTAGGACACGCAGTAGAAACGGGTAACTGAAGTTAAATACAGAATTTATACGTTGACCATGTATTCACACTTCTTGTTTTATGGTCCTGATGTCCAACATTGTCATAAAACCTCATTTTGAATAAACGTCCACACATCAACAAATTTACCGTTCCCTGGATTGCTGAATAATGACGTTTAGAAAAAGGAGATAAACTACAACGCGAGAGGCAGCCTGTGTATCGCTTGCAGCCCCGTTGCATAGCAACGGTCTTCTTCTCTGGTTTTTGAGGGGTAGATGTCATGCCACGTGAAGTGCGACATTGCCCCCCTCCTGTTGGGAGACGTCAACTGATTAACCTTAACATCGGCTTGCCTTTGTGAATTCTAATCCGACCGATTGTGTAAATTTACTGGAATGAACGATGCAACATGAGGCCGTGAGTAAAAAAAAAAAAGCCTTTTCATTAATTTACTTGTTTGGGAAATGTCAAGCCAAAAGGTAAGGGATATATGCCGTGGAAATGTTATTAAAAGTACTATAAAAGTGGAAAACACTGACATTCGGACAAGAACTTGACAGACACCATTCTGTGTAAACACACACATTTATTGAAGTGTTGCCGTAAACAGGCAAAACATCCTAATGAAGATTTTATTAATAAACAGCTTCTTGAAAATACAAGTTTACAGACAGTGATTCGGAAATAATTGTACATCTACCAGTATTTGGTAACTGAACACACAAAAAAAAGCAAAATATCTCCACCATCCTTGACGTTCAAAAGAAGTCAGCAATTATGAAAGACGACAGGAGACAAATTCATACTTGTGCAATGAGCACACATGCACTGCCAGGTCACATACAACGACATGTGCAGACCTCTTCTAGCACACTAATAGGGTTGAGCAGCTAGAATCTTCTGATAAAACCCTTTCCAGGTTCAACCAACTTTTTATGTAATGGGAGCCATGTAATACAAACAGCACAGCGTTTCCTCTCCCATGTTTTTACATTATGGCCAACTGAATGGGTCTAAAACGCCACCACGAAACAATGATGGAGGGATGGACTTTAGCAAAACAACACAGGTCACGTGGACTTGATTGTGGACTGTCCCAAGGTGCTGCTTTTACCCCTCCCGTATGTCATCTCTTACTCCACTTAATACAAAAATAAAACTGTGCTTCCCCCAAACCCCTCTGGACGCTCTCCTGTGCCTAAAAAAAAAGCACCTGGGATCACATAATACTCCCGATGGACACCTTACGCAGCGACTACACTGCTCCAAACCCACTAAACCTCTTTCCTTAAATGGAATCCTACCCTTCCCTGGACGAGGCTCGGGCCAATTTATCATTTTAGCGGAGTTCAAGTGCAGCTAAGCGATCTGCGGTTTCTTCAACTAAATGCACTCTGGACCGCAGAGCACAAAAACATATCCGGCTCGACAAAAGCACTTCATCGCAGAGAGCTGAACTATCTGTCATTGAGCCAGCTGTGTTCACGGCTGGGATTCCCCAAAAGCGTCGCAGCGCTAAACATTATAGATTTAACGCAAACGGGGAAAAATAACATTTAAAATGATGCAAACGGCATTTCAATACACTCCACTGTCGATCACATCCATCCGGAGGTTGTAGATTGACGAGAGAGAAGCAATACAATTGAACGATCTAATCTAGTAGGACGTGAACTTGGACAATAAAGTACATACGACTGACCGATAACGCTTGATATTGTTCCGAGCTGCTGCTGCTACCGAAACCTAGAACATTTTTTAGAAGTAACTAATGATTGAAATATAGGCAGACCTTATAATGCACATACTTCAGCTTTGGCCAAGTTGTGTCCACGTTGGGTAACAACCCGTATCCCAAAAACTGCCAACTGATATAAAAGGATCACACTGTTGACAAAGCCTCCTTATTACACAGTATATGTGTACACTGCTGAGGAGTAGTGTTAGGATTTAGGTGAAGGTTCGGACCCCAAAGCAGGCAAGGAGAGGTTAGTGGCTGGATATGTGGACAAAAGTTTATTGGCTGGCGAGGATCCTGGCAACGGGGAGGACGAAGAGCCGGGCGGTGATGCACACGCGCGTTCGTAGTGACGGAATAATCTGGCGTCGACGTGATGAGACGCCCAGGTTTATATGGAGGAGGATGATTGGATGCAGGTGTGTCTCGTCCAGTTGCCGCCAACAGCCAGCCACACCCCCTGCCGCACACAACACAGGAGAACACAGCCAAAACCCAACCAAACAGAAACACAATCACCACAAGTAGCTTGTTACGGAAAGATTGTCCAACTGCTTCCGATGACACATGCTCAGAGAAACGTCTCATTTCAGGGGGGGGGGGGGGGGGCCCCCTGTTATTGTAAAAGGTTATTGTAATTTCCAAGGGGGGTGGGAGGGGGCATAAACATTATGTATGTACCTGCACTCAGACTGCCTCCTGTGGGCTTACTGGTGGGGAAAGCAAAAGAAGACCCCCCAGTCCCCACCCCACCAAAATCTGGGCCACCACCAAAAACTGTGGGAAAGAGTGACACGGACGTCAGTTTGGGGCGATGCACACAGGCCACAGGTTTTTGCTTACATTTTAGATGGTACTTTAAAACTTTAAAAAGGGGGAGACAACAAACTGCAATCTGGGCAAAATTGGCATGTATTGAGCCCCTGAAATATTGTTTGACATCCTTCAATTATTGTGTTTGTTTTGTTGTTGCCAGAATGTGACAACATCCAATACACGCTACCACCCATTTATTTTCAACACCATTTTAACTGACCTGATCAACTTATGACTAAAAAGGAGCTATTGCAATCCAATAACAATTAAGTGACAAGCATTATTCAATTATAATGGCAAATGGGTTCCATTTTTGACCACAGTGTGGTATTTTCCTTGACCACTGCCCAGTTGAGATAATAGAGATATAGATTAGGATTACTTGGCTCAGTGAGAGAGTTGGACCTGTGTACATGAACAGTTACATCTCACGGGAAATTCATGCTGATTTCTTTTGTATAATCTACTGGGCTGGTAGAGATGCCACCGTATAGGGACTGAACAGAGATTTTTTTTTAACCAAAATGAGAAAATAATCACTTTAAAATAAGAGACAAGAACAGGCATTGGTTTAGTGTCCATTATTTACTTTGAAATGATCATTCCAAAATAATTTAATAAGACGACCATGTCACTACAATGATTTGTCATGTTGATATTGATCCCACCGTTGGCATCAGCTCCTTCGTTGGACGTGCTGTTTATTGTGGTTCACCTGTGAGTGAGGTGACCTTGTTCTCACAGTCCTATCAGGCTGCAGGGCTAAGAGGTTTACACCAGTAGGGTTAAGACTCCACCTCCTACATGCTGTTTCGATGCAACCCAAGGTGTCATACATACATACATACCAGGTTTCACCAGCTGCTGTGGAAAAACCAAGTGCATAACAGTCCCAGTGTGTGTGTGTGTACGCATTATTATTATACCTTCATCCACCCCCAGCTGAGGGCTCTGCTCTCCTGTGGCTCCTCCATCTCTATGGCATCGGCCTCCTGCTGTGCGGGTGACAGTCACTTCCAGAGATGTATATCTGGTCCAGCCACAGGCACAATCGCTTGAGGAGGTCGTGACGAAATAATACTTTTCAGTTCATATTTTGGTGAGTAAAAAAGGTTTCTGGTGAAGTTTGGGTTAATTTGAAATAGTCACCATTTTAGACGTGTTGAACTTGGTTTGTAACTCCTCACTTCCTCACTCTAAAAAGTGACTAGGAATACAAGTCTTCATCCTTTAACCAAAAACCTTCCTCATCCATAGCGAATACTCCTTGAGTAAAATGGGCAGACAGTTTGTTAGAAAAATTTCCCAGTAAACGGAAAACTAAAAATAAAGTTGAGTCTCTAGAATAATCACCCAACATTATAATGAGCATAGGATTTAATCTAAGGATGTTGTGTTAGACCACATTTGTGGATTTGTGTAATAAATATATATACATATATTTGTTTTAAATACATTTAAATACTGAAAGACACATTCGGAATTTCAAGTAAAGCACATGTTTGAAAATCTAATTAACTGTAGGAGTGGAAATGAAAGTATTCTGTATTGTGTTGATTTAATAATTTATTCAGTATTGAAGTTGTGTCTTCATTGCAACAAGCACGACATGTTCGCAATAACGACAACAATATACTGTTTGTACAAAAGTAAATTGCACAATTTGCATAATTGTTAAACTGCTGTTTACCAAGACACCACTGATTCATTGGAGTCCAAATTGCAGAAATGTATCAGAATTCTAGATCCCTCAATATTGCAAAGTGTAATAGAAATACGCTGTTAACCACACGACAACAAAAAGAAAATGACTATATTTCCCCTGTTGCATCAATCTAATTCACGTTTTGTTTTTGCATCACATGATGTTAAGGGAGCTGTATTATGAATTCAAATAAACACCAGTGCTCACAGCACTTATTTGACACTCAAATATTCATCTCCAGCTAAATGG